TTACGTCCTCTGTCCTGTCATTCCCGTGTCCTTCAACTTTTGCCAGGCTCCTGGCTCCCGGCTGGCTGTATCTTCTGACCCGGCTCCTGTTCCTGCTGCTGCTGCTGCCAAGCTCTCCCTGATGTTGATAAATTTCACGCCCTAGAGGAGACGACGCAGCCAGGGAATGCTCTCGAGCTCAAATTACTTTGACTGCAGTCAGTGGAGAAATGGAGAAGTGGGACGGGAGCCGCCGCCCAGCAATGATTGAATGAAAGGCTAAAAAAGGATTTTAGGAGAGAGGAGAGCAAGTGTGAGTGTGTGTGTACTGTATATCCTGCTGGCTATGTACTACATGCCTCCTCCACGCCCCTCTCTCTTACTCTCTCTGTGTATATAGTATATATTCCCAGTCAAATATACACAGAAATAACCTCAAACAAGGACGTTCGGTGAGAAACTTTTGCCAGGACAAAAGACGAGGAGACTTGCGGCGACGGGGACACTTACTGGGTCCAAGCGAGGATACACTGTGAGGAAAAATTGGAAGGAATGTGTAAGGGTTCCTATATAAAAATAAGCAAAGTTAGGGAATTCGGTGGGAATTTTGGAAGGAATTTCTTTATACATTTTTAGAGGGTAAATATTTTAAGGGAATATTATGCAGATGAATCAGAAATTATGTGAAAAATATAATCTAACAGGTCTTATAAAGTATTTTTGGTTAAATTATAATTTAAAAAAAGAAAGCTGGCTTTGGGAAGCCCTTGCACCCAAATCGGAAAGCTTTTCTAGGCCAGTTTTATCTAGCTCAACAAATCTCCAGACATGGCTAGAAAGACTCGCCTTATCAAGAACATATATGGTTTATAGGGTCGGAAATGACTTCTTCACTGCTTTGCAAGCTTCTGGCTAAAACTACAGGGTATTGTGACGGTAAAAAAGTTAAAATATATATTTTCTAGTATATATTATTTGTAGTTCAGAAAGAATTTAAGGAATCCTAAACTTTTAAGTAAAAAGGAAAGCAGATTCCTTTTGTATAGTTCTCTTTCTCTCAAAGAACTTAATTAAAGCATTTAAAGTTATTAATAGTTATTACCTCTTATTCCAGCTTCTAATAAACACAACTCATTTGCTATTAATAAAGTGCCAAAAATGTGATTAAGTTTTCCCCCTAACTAGTCTAATAATAATAACCATTCAGAGCCATTATATGTCATTATTATTTTTGTTTTCTGTGCATGGAAGCAAGCATTTAGCCATTTACTACGACCGCTTCTTGGTCGGCTTCTGCTTCTTCTTGGCCATGTATTACATAAGCGGGCCAAAACACACACACACATCATAACATGGCAGTAATGCAATTTACAGACGCCCAAAAATGTCCGCCCCAAAAACGTATACCGCCCACCTTTTGGTTCAATGGGTGGTTATCTGGGTGCCACCAACGTTACTTGGTCTCTGCCACATCCTTCGGTTCCTGTGGGGCGCAACAAATGTTGCCCAGTAAATGTGTTGTTGCTTTTGTTTTGGATGTTGGCCCTGCAATACCCTGAACTGGGCGCACTTTTAGCTGAATTGATTTTTCCAATGGCCTCAACTGCGCATGCCGGGCAATATATGTTGTAGGCACCTCTCCTCCTCAAGCCCCTCCGGCACCCTCTGCGGATTGCATTTCACCCAAACCCAAACGCGAACCCAGAAACACACCTAGATACTACGGGTGTTACATACAGTGGTCGCTGGTATAGAGTGCACTTTGGGAGATATTTTAAGGTTTTAAAGAAAGCGCTGTAGGTTTGAAATTAATTTAAAAGGTCTTTTAAGGAAAATTATGTTTTTTTTATAAATTTTGTGGAGCTTTTAGTTTGTTTAATTGTTATTAAATATACATTTAGACACTTGTTGCTTGGTTTGTTCGGAAGTAAAGCTGTTTAATACATCTTTTACATTTTCTAGCTGATTGAAGGGGTTTATTTATTAAATTTAATTCAATTAAGACTTTCATTAATTTATTTTAATAATTAAATATATAGAGAATTCGATTTGTATATTGGATTTTAAACTTTAGTACTGTTTTAAGTTCTGTAAGGCATTTTTATAAAAGGAGCCTAGACCTAGACGAGCTTCTTCAATCTAGAAAGAAACCGTACCTAAGATTTCTGCTCATAGAACCGGGTTATTTTTTAGATTTTTTTTTTAGAATTCTACCAAAATTTAATATATTTCAAAATCTGATTATAATTCTGACATTCCGTATTTCTTTTACATTTTTAAATAATTTAAAATAAAAAATTAATTATGGATTTTTAATAATTCAATACACATTTATTAAGTAACTCAAGTCAAATGAAATCTTCTAAAATGGTTCTCTTTAAATTAAAACTAAAGTAAAACTCCCACTAGCAGGAATGCCCACTGTGCACCGCTTAAGTGCCACCCACTGGAGCTTCAAGGAGATGGAGATATGCCACTTGGTCTGCCATGCCCTCTGCTGCAGTCGCTGTCTCTGCTCTGCCCGATGAAAGCTGTGACCTGAGCAGAGAGCTGCCGACTGCAGCAGCCCATCCATATACATATATATATAAACATATATATGCCCCTTCCGATTCAGATCCAGATCCAGGCTATATACACAGCATAAGCTTACACTCACACCTTCATATATGTATGTATGTAAAGTGAATTGCTGGCTGGCTGCGTTGTTCTATATGGCCATATTTTAAGTGCTGCTGCTGTGCTTAAAGCGCTTAATGCGGCTTTAAAAAAATCTTGGTTCCAGGAGCAGAACATTCTCTGTGATCCTTGAAAAGGGCGGGGATCAGACTAAACTAGGATATGGCTTCAATTCATCAAATTGGGCATTATATGGGGGCAGGCAGGCTGTCGAGAAAATTGCCATTACCTTTACTACTACCAGCTATTGTCTATGGACTTCTGGCATTATGAGATAACAATGAGGTTTTGGATTACGTACGGGTTTCGGAGCAGGAATTTCATTTAAATTCATTCTGGTTGAGAGAGGGGCTTAAATTAAAACTATATGTGGTTTTGGATTTACAAAAGGTCTTGAATATATTTTAAGAGATTTTGTTTTGAGAAGTGTCATTAAATTACAAGCTTATATGTCTGAAGAAATCATGTAAAACTCAAGGAAATATATGACTTTAAAAAAAATAACAATTTTAAAAGTAACTTCAAGAGTTCAGAAGAACATTTTTGGAAATGTGTTTTATGTGATTTATAAAATCATAACAGTTAACATAAGAAACAGGAAATTTTAAAATTCCCAAGCATTCCCAGTTGCAGTTGCAGTTGCAGTTTGATACCCCTCAGATAATTCTGCAGATAAACAACCCTCTGGGTATTAGTTCCAAAGTTGCTATTCCATATGACACCCCTCGAACCCAGATCACAGTTCCCAAAAGGGGCGGAATAGGGGACGAGGTCGCTGCTTATCTACAGAGCAGAGATTAGCACACATCAAATACCATACGATTCGATCCGATCCGATCGATCGTCGCGACGCCTCTCGTATGTATGTATGTATGTATCATAAAATACTTATTCTGAGGTTGTACTAGAATTTCTTCGTTATGCCATTGAACGCGTTCGTAAGCCTCAATTGTAAAACAATCTGTGGGAAACCTTCTCCGAAGAAGCTATTCCGATGAACTTATATATAATATAAACCTATATATAGCTGTGTTTTATTTTAAAATGCAGTGACTGTAAAGGAATTCATGGTATTTTACATTAAAGGGAATTTCCCAGATTATATATTTTCTTATTGGTGATATTTTTATAATTTTTCCATATTATATTTAAAGAAGAAAATCAATTTATTCAGCCACTAAATAACATAAGCATATGGTAATTTATAAAAATTATAATAATAAATAAAACGTAATACATTCAGAACCCAACCTGAGGGATCTCTCGCTAAAATGCGCGATTGCCTCAACAATGGAACACACAAAGGCCTAAATATTTAGCAAAGGTCGCGTTTTCCTGTTTTCCTTCCCTCGGGAAACGTCGAAATATAAATATATTGTACATATACATATATAGCTATGTATATATATGTAAATATATGTCGAGCTCAACTGAACCCTTGTTTCCCGAGCCTTTTGCGCGTTAATTTATCCAGGGGTTGCTTTCTGCGTCTTTAATGGCATTCTATTGTTTTTTTGGAACTCAGGTAGAACTTCTACTTATTTCTACCTGGTTCCGTTTCCCATATCCATCCTGCTTGCACTCACAGGAGACGACCAGGTGAAAACAACATTTGGCTTTGTGTGTGTTGTGACCCATAAGGAAATTGTATAAACTATAGGTTTCGATCGAAAACAGTCGAACTGGAAATTTATTAGGAATTACATCTTGCTCAGGACTATAACGTACACTTTATATATATTTTTAAAAATTTTATAAATTGTGTTGGTTTGGTATGTAAAATAAAATTAAAATATTGTTAATATTTATTAAAGGTTTGAAGGATTTTAATTTAAATTAAAAAAAAAAAGAAAATTGTTTAAAATCTGACCCAACAATTATTAAATTATATTAACACGTGCCTTTCTTTATGTTTAAATAGTAAATTTTAAATTTGTTTCTATTAATATTTGAAATTTAGGCATTATTTATATCGTTTAAGATAAATGATATATTTATTGAATAAGGCTTTAAATATGAAAATTTACAAATGGAATAATAGATTGATTATTTAAATTAAAAGATCTTAAAATCAAAATGAAACAATAAATAAAAATTTTATAAAATTATTAGACATAATCTAAAGGATAAAAAACAACCAAAAAATAAAACATATAAACAAATAGCACCATAAAACTAAATAAAACAAACCAACAACAAAAACAGTTCAGCATTCTACACGATATTTACATACCAAACATTCCACCCAGCACTACGCAACATGGTTTACGTCATGGCGCGGCAACATACGTCATATGGTCGGCATTACGTTGCTTGAGCCCCAGACAGTCTGGCAGCGCTACACGCGAATATCGGCACAAAGCGAAATCGGTGGGAAACAAGCAGAAGGCAGACGAAGGAATAAAATAAAGAGCGAAGCGACGACAAAGAACGTGAACGCCGTGCAAAAACGAAAAGAGAAATACGAATTTAATACCTAATACGCGAAGTACAAACCGGTTCTTGGCTTTCTTGAAATAAAGCAACAAAAGCAAAAGAACGTGGCTCTCCGGTCCCGGCTTTTTCTGCCTCTGTGTTTGTGTCCCATGTTTCCGTGCGTGTGTGTTTGTGCGTTGGTCCCAGGTCTGTCCATGTGTGAGTGAGTTTATTTATCTGTGCATGTGTGTTGCCGCGTAAACAGACGCAGGCCAGCGAAAACAAGAAGAAGAAAACGAAGAAATCTGCGATTGGGTCGTTTCCATTTGGCGCCGTTTATATTTATTTCTAAAGTGCATTGCAAAGTCGGTAGCAACTCCGCGGGATAAAATATATTGATATTCGGGTTAGATATCCCCGATGAGACGCGCAATTAATAGGGCGCCCGCCTCAGGGTCTGTGAAAACAACAGACCGAAGCCGCCGTCGAAACGATCGCGAAAAGTTGAAAACGACTTCGATTTTCCTAGCGAAAACCGAGAAATAATATTATGCGGAGGTGGGTTAAGTATCCAGGTGTATAAAAAGTGTGTGATAATAAAGGAAAAGCTGGAAAAACGGTGCTAAATAGTCGGAATCTCCCAAGCCGAAAGCAAAACAAATATTGCCCACATAACGGTGATCGCTTGCAGTGATGGCAACCCTAAAAATATTAGAAAACAAAATAATTATTATTTTATAACGGAATTTATTTAAATATATAAATTACTATAAATACAATTGAGAATGAGTGATGTAATACACTTTAATTACGTAATAATATTTTATTGAATGACTTCATTTTTCAACTTAAATGCGGAACTTTAAACAATAAAACTAAAAAAAAGAGTGCTAAATAAATCATAAATAAGACTGTAAATTTATTTATTAATCTGTTAACAAATGTATGATTTTTCTTTTAATGTGCTTTGTGCTTAAACAAATTACACGAAATATGTACTGTTTATATATTAAATTTAAGGAAATATTTATTAATTAGTTTTATCTAGTATAGCATTCTTCATTATATGCAATAACTGACTTTTTTTTTTCATTTCGTTTCCAGGTCTACAGAGGAACCACCGACAAACAGCTACGAAAGGAACTACTACGACCGCACCAGCAGCCGCTTAGTCAGTCAGTACCAGACGGGCAACTCCGCCTCCTTGTCCACATCCAATTCCAACGCCAACTCGAGTCCATCGTCAGCATCCGCTTCCCTAGCAGCAGCAGCGGCAGCAGCAGCATCAGTATCCGCATCGGCGGCAGCAGCAGGAGGAGGATCCTCAGAGAGATCGCGCAATAGAGATCGCCTGTACAGGAATGGTTCTGCCAGCGGTCATAGCGGTGGCGGCGGTATCAACAGCGGCAACAGCAGCAGCAACACGACGACGACGACAGCAGCCACAGCTGGAGCTGGAGGATCTGGACCGGGGGGCGTTGGAGCTGGAGCACCGCAGGCGCTAGGCGACCGGAGCAGCAGCCACAATATCCACCAGAATCAGCAGAGCGCGCGGGTGGCACCACCACAGTCATGGTACGAAGCCGCCGCTGCTGCAACGACGACGACGACGGCCCAATTGAAAAGTCCTGGTGGCAGTGGCAATGCCGGCGCCTCAGCAGCCGGTGGCTTTGCAATGATGAGCAACAATCACCAGCAGCAGCACCCGCATCCGCATCTTCAGAATCCTCAACACCCGCACTACAGCAGCAACAGCAGTCCAGCAGCAGGAGGAGGAGGAACCTGCCCATCTCCCGCCCAAGGACAAACACAGAACACGCAGACCACGGCCGTGCATCGAAGTGTGGCTTATGCGGGAAGTGCTGCGGATGACTCCACGCGCAAGATGCTCCTGCACAGCAACAAACTCAATAAGCTGCTCAAGGGAGTGGGAGCGGTAGCGGGAACGGGATCAGCGGCCGGAGCACGCTCTGGTTCGGAATCGCCAGGAGGAGCAGCACCAGCTGGAGGAGGAGGAGCAGCTACTCCAATGACGACGACAAGTACAATCACAAACAATAGTTTTAGTAGTAATAGTTTAAATAATACAATAAACACGGCAACGCCAACGATGCCAACGATAGCATCTGGTGCTGCTGCAGCTACTGGAGCAACTGGAGCAGGATCGACAGCAGCCAGCGGTGACATTCTAAATGTGGCCGCTGCATTGGCCGCTGCTGCAGCTGCCTCTGTGGACAATGGAATACCCTCGTCTCATCCGATTCGGACGCGACACCACCTGCATGGACGCAGCACCACCTCCTCCAGTCGCTCGCACTCGCGCTCGCCGAGCAGCTACAGCAGTTCGCACAGCTCCTCGTCCTCCTCGCACTCTTCTTCCCACTCGCACGCGTCCAGTCCCGTCCAGTCTACGGGCAATTGTGCGATGATGATGGCGGAGAATCGGGGTGGACGTAGCCTGCAATCTGTGGCAGTAACAAGTGAGTATATCCTTGCGATGAGAATCATCCAGAATTTATATTAATTTTTTATTACCTTCCTCCTTCCTTCCAGGCAACTCTTCAAATCCCAGTGGCAATGCTGGCACCGCCGGCGGCTGCGGCTCCAGTTCATCGTCGAGCAGCAGCAGTAGCTCGAGCGGCTCCTCCTCCTGCCTGACAGCCAATCCCGTGGTGCATTCCGAAGACAACCGGCCGCTGGCGATACGTGTCCGCAATTTGCCCGCCCGTTCCTCGGACACATCCCTCAAGGATGGTCTCTTCCATGAGTACAAAAAACACGGCAAGGTGACGTGGGTCAAGGTGGTGGGGCAGAACTCAGAGCGCTACGCTCTGGTCTGCTTCAAGAAGCCCGATGATGTGGAGAAGGCGTTGGAGGTGTCTCACGACAAGCACTTCTTTGGCTGCAAGATTGAGGTGGAGCCGTACCAAGGCTACGATGTGGAGGACAATGAATTCCGGCCCTACGAAGCTGAGCTGGATGAGTATCATCCAAAATCCACGCGTACGCTGTTCATAGGCAACCTGGAGAAGGACATAACCGCTGGAGAACTGCGTGGGCACTTTGAGGGCTTCGGCGAGATCATCGAGATCGACATAAAGAAGCAGGGTTTGAATGCCTACGCCTTCTGTCAGTATTCGGACATTGTCTCGGTGGTGAAGGCAATGCGCAAAATGGACGGCGAGCATCTGGGCAGCAACAGGATCAAGCTTGGCTTTGGCAAGTCCATGCCCACCAACTGTGTGTGGATCGATGGCGTTGGCGAGAAGGTGTCCGAGTCGTTTCTCCAATCCCAATTCACGCGCTTTGGCACTGTTACCAAGGTCAGCATAGATCGCAACAGGCAGTTGGCTTTGGTTTTGTACGATCAGGTGCAGAATGCCCAGGCAGCGGTGAAGGATATGCGTGGCACGATCATGCGTGGCAGGAAACTGCAAGTGGACTTTGCCTCGAGGGAGTGCCAGGATGCCTTCTACGATAAGCAGGAGAAGCAGCAACAGCAACAGCAGCAGCAGCAAAGTGCAGGTGAGTTGAGGGTTTTCCATAAGCTAACTCTTATTTATTTACTAAATTATAAACTTCTCTAGCAGGTTCTTCTTCGCGCTTTGTTCGCTACGAGTCGTCCTCCTCCTCATCGCAGTCTCGTTCGCGGGCTTCATCCTTTAGCCGGCACCAGAACAACTCCAATGATGGCTGCTCGCCGAGTAATACTCCTGGAGGAGGAGCTAGCAGTGGAAGCAGCAGTACAACCAACCAAAGCAGCATCTCCAACAGCAGTACCTCTGCGAGCAACGCCATGCCGGCTCCCAGCTTGGCCTCTGCTGTTGTAAGCGGAGCTGGAGCCTCAGGAGTAGCTTTAACCTCGGCAACGGCACTGCCCTTGGTGGTTGGTTCGTCCTCCTCCTCCTCGGCCAGTTCCATGCCAGCTGCTTTGGCGCAAAGGATGCGAATGGCCAGAAATGCCCGGCATACCATCGATTTTGACTTCAACGATGTGGGTGGAGCACGGTCGCGGTTTCGCAACTCCGAGGAGTACAACAATCCAACGCAGGATGACGAGATACGCTCCGATTCTCCAGTGATTGCACGCCTGGGTCCGGCTGTCAATAGTTTGAGTGGTTCCAGTGGAGAGGGGCTCGATGGGACAGGAGCGGGATCGGGATCCCTTAACCGGAGGCGTTGCGGTAAACCAACCAATCAACGTTTCCATTTGCCGGAACAACTCGAGGAATGCCCGTCCAGTGGTGACGAGGGCGTGGTCAGTCCGCGAAAGCGCATCAAAATGGATTACCACCATCTCCACCATCATTCCAATGCCAGCGGGGGAGAGTTGTCCACTGGCGGCGAACACGGCATCAAGCCCAGCCCCCTCTCCCTGTCCACCTCCACCTCCTCGTCCTCCAACTGTGATGTGATACACGATCCCCTCAATCGCAAGAGCGAGATCCGGCGTGTATCCGAGACGATGACCACGACGACGACAAGTGGCTCGACCGGCATGAAGTTCCCTGGCCATCAGCCCCTTGCTGGTGGTCCGCCCTCCATGATGCTGAGCTGCCGGCGTCCCTCGATCGATGTCGGAGCTCTGACGGCGCTCTCCAGCTCATCGGCCTTTCGGCATGGACTGGTGGGGGCCAGTAGCATGGATCAGCAGCAGCATCATCTGATGAATGCCTCACTGGCGGCCAAGCGGAGGCGGGTGACCACCACAATGCAGCAGCCAGGCAGCAGCAGCAGCACGTCGGCCACAACGTCGTCTTCGGGCAGTAATTCGGTTGGAGGTGGATCTGGCTTGGTGGGAATAGGAAGTCTTGCTTCGACAGATGACTACCACCATCATGCCTCGCGGGGCAGGGGCCATCAGCTACATTCCCATCACTCGCACGAGGCCAGCGGAGGCGAGAGTGCGGATGGTTCGCGTCCTGGAACGCCGCTGTGCGATGAGCGACCGGAAGTACTGCCCACAGAGCCGCGTCGCCTGCCGCCGCCCAGAGAGAGGGCGCGGGAGAGAGTGCGCGAGGTGATGTGGCTGCCCCTGCCCAAGTTTGGAGTGATATTCTTCCAGCAGCAGCAGACCCGAGGCAGTGGCAGTGGAGGCAGTTACCAGCAGCAGCAGCAGCCAGGCTCCTCCAGCGGTGGACTGAGCGGACTGGGGGCGTCGTCTGGCGCCTCCTCCGCTGCTAATGCTGCATGCTCCCTCAGCAACTCTAGTCTAAACGCCAGCCAGGGCGTGGGCTCCGGCTCGGGATCGGCATTCCTGCCCAGCCCCTCGCTCCAGCGCTATTGGCGTTCATCCTCCTCATCCTCCTCCTCGCACCACCATCATCACCAGCATCATCATCACCACCAGCAACAGCAGCAGCAGTCGTTGCAGCAAGGATCCTCCTCCAACTCTGGCCTAATGGCCAGTCCTGCGCGTCCGCGATCACTCAGCTCCAATTCGAGTGATTCGGATGTTCCACAGGGTCACAATGCCGGCGGAAGTCCCTCGCTGGATGAACGCCTGCGCAACTTTGAGGAGAACTACGAGCGATGGTCAGGCGGAGGCAGCAGCAGGGAGCACGGCCACTCCAGTCACACACCCTCCAGCGCCTCTACGCCCTCTTGGCAGCTGTCCATGCACATGAATCTGGGCAGCGGCAGCGGTGGCTTAAACTCCCATCAAACCAGCTCCTCGGGTTCAGGCTCTGGCTCCGGGAACAGCAACAGTTCCAGCGGGACAACGTCCAGCACCACCAGCAATTCCCGTCACAAATTCCTGGACATTGATGAGCTGCAACCCTCGGATATAGTAAAATCCGTGCTGGCCAAGAAGAGTATCTTTGATGATGATTTCCAGCGGCTGAAGAAAAATCAATGGTATGAGCCCAGCAGCTCGGACTTCGCCTTGGGAACGAGTTCCTCCTCTAACCTGATTGTGGGCTCCTCACTGGGATCGGCTGTGGCGAGAGGCCTTTGCAGTGGAAACACCTCACCGGCATTACCTAATCTGGCAGCCACCAAGACCACGCCCATTATAGGGAACTGCAGCAGCACCAGCGGCAGCAGTGGAGGAGGATTGGTGGTCAACTCGACGTCGACGGGAAGCAAGACGGGGGGATTGCTTCAGAGGCTAAGCAGTTTGTCGCCCATGAACTCCCCACAGGCTTCAATGTCGCCTTACAACAGTCCATCGCCTTCGCCCTCGGTGGGTGGAGCAACTGCAGCACAGCTAGCCAAGCCCACAACAATGGCAGTGGGAGCAGCAGCAGCAGGAGCAGCGAGTGTAGTAAGCAATGCCTCTACAACCGCCTCACCTTCCTCAGGACCCACCAAGGGTCTGCAATACCCGTTTCCCAGTCACCCGCCTTTGCCCAACACAGCAGCGCCACCGCCCGCCGTGCAGCCAGCGCCACCACCTCCTCCGGAGATGGTAAAGCAGCAGCCCAGACAGGCAGCTACATCTTCGGGCAGCAATCTAACCAAGAGTTTGAGCGTACCCGAAGCCCAGCCACCTCAATCGCCGGCCAGAGTGCAGCTCCAGAAGTCGGCCTCAGTGCCAGGAAGCACCAACATTGGCACTGTGGCACCCACCCCTGCATCAGCCACCACATCATCTTCATCTTCGTCCAACGGTAACAGTTCCTCAGCAGCCGCATCAGCAGCCACCCAAGTACAAAAGCCAACGACGCAGCCGCAAAACTCCACAGAGGAGGAGCAGCCAAAGAAGAGTGCTAATGCCAGTCAAGCCTCCAGTTCCAGCTCCAAGAAGAGCAGCAGCAGCAGTAGCAGCCAGGACAAGTCCCATGGCAAACACAACAATCGTTCGGAGAAGAGCAAGAACAAGTCCGACAAGAGCTCATCCTCCTCCTCCTCCGACAAGCGCAAGAACTCGGCCACCTCCCAATCCTCCAAGTCGGCTACGCCCCGCATTGAAGATGATTCCACCGATCAGGAGGAGTCAGCCGAAAAGGCAGAGAAAGAGCGGGAGAAGAAGGAGCGCCAGGAGAAGGAGAAGCGCGAGAAGGAGCTTCGCAAGCAGCATGAACGCGAGGAGAAGGAGCGCTGCAAGGCTGCACAGGAGGAGAAGGAGCGGGAGGAGCGCAGGGCCAAAGAGGAGAGAGAGCGTGAGGAGCGCAAGGCCAAAGAGGAGAAGGAGCGCGAACGAGAGAAAGAGCGTGAGCGTGAGAGGAAGGCACTGGAAGAGAGGGAAGAAAAGGAACGCGAGGAGCGAGAGCTGCGCGAAAAGGAGCAAAGAGAAAAGGAAATCCGAGAGAAAGAGCAGCGAGAGATGGAGCAAAGAGAGAAGGAGCAACGGGAGAAAGAACAAAGGGAGAAGGAGCAAAAGGAAAAGGAGCAACGCGAAAAGGAACTCCTCCGAGAGAAGGAACAAAGAGAGCGAGAGCAGCGGCGCGCCCAGGAAGCCGAGCAAGAAGCTCGCCTGGCCCGTATGCGCGAGCTCTCCTCCTACCACAAAAGCAAGTCGGAGGCCAGCTCCGAAGCCACCAGCTTCTATTCCCACAACAATACCCTTCCCCCCTCAACAGGCTCCTCTGGCGACTGTCAGCACAACAAGGAGAATGCTGTGGATGCCTCTGCTCCGGCTACACCCGCTAGTGCTACTCCCTCAACGCCATCGGATAACCCCGCCAAGGATCGTTCTCGCAAATCCTCCAGGAATTCGCCAGTGCGCCTCCACAAGCGACGCCTCAGTTCGCAGGATAGCAATCACAGTGGTGGTGGAGGTCCCAGTCATCAGAATCATCACGATGACTATGTGAAGCGCATTCGCATGGAGAACTCTCAAAATCCTGCAAACACTAACCAAAGGCTTAACGATCGTCGCGACTCCAAGGAGCACAAGAGCACGAGCTCCAAGGAGGAGAAGACCAGCAACAGCTCACAGCACAACTCCAAGTCGCACGGCAGCGGAGGCAGTTCATCTTCCTCGTCCAAGCATCATCGCCGGGACAAGCATCACCAGAAGATCAGCGTAAGCTCACTCGAAACGAATCCCTCCCTGGAGACCCTAGATCCCGCCAAGCAGCACTTGAATACCAGCGAAGAGGAGCAGCCCAAAAGGGACAAGGAGCAAAGGGAGAGAGAACACTCTAGTAGCCACCATCATGGCGGCAGTAGCTCCTCCTCCAGGCACAAGAGCAAACGGGAACACCATCACCATCGCGAGAAGAAGCGGCATTCGGTGGCGGAGTCCACCAACACGGACGAAGAGCAGCATCCTACCCACTCCCAGCAGCAACAGCAGCCGCAGCATAATCCGCACAGGAGAATCTCGGCGGCGGGCAGTGGCTCAGCGGGTGAACTCAGCTCAACGGCAAGTGGGAAACCGCACCACCATCATCACCACAGGCGGAGTGTGGAGCGTAAATCCTCCCGGGGATCCGATGAGGGTCACCATTCCTCGTCGAAGTCGCTGCGCAACAAGCTAATGATGCTAAGCTCCGCAGACTCGGACGACACGGATGATGCCTCCAAAAAGCACTCGATCTTTGACATTCCCGATGATTGCCCCAATGTGTCGATGTACGACAAGGTCAAGGCCAGGAGCTGCAAGAATATGCAACGCCAGGCCGAGGAGAAGAAGATCAAGGCCAAGTTCTCGCAGCTGAAGCAGTCGCGGGCCAAGAAGAAGCGCTCCACCAGCTACGATGGGGACTCGGACACCGAGTTTGAGGATCGACATCATCGTAACAGTGGTAGCAGCAGCTTCCATGGACGCTATCCTGGCCTATCGAGCAGCGATGAGGATGATGAGGACGACGAGAGACGTCTGCCTAGGCGCATCTTCTCTGATTCGGATGCCGAGCAGGAGGGTGACCAGGAGCAGCAGCAGCAGGAGCAGGTTGCAGGCTCCATGCCAGATGCCAACCTGGTGCGACAGATGCAACAGAACCTGCGTAGACTGTGCGATGGAGACGACGAGAGCTCCGAGGATGAGATTAGAAGGAACGTTCTAAAGCACAACCATCTCGGCAAGCGCAACTCTCACTCCACCCGCATAGCCTCCGATTCGGAGTCACAGTCCCAGCCAGCTCCTGATTTGGTGATCAAGCAAGAGCCTCAGCCTAATCCCGCTCCCCAGGAGATCAAGCAGGAGCAGCTCTCAGACAGCGAGCAAAAGTTCAAGTCGCGCCACGATTCCAACTCCTCGATGGAAGAGCGCAAGCTCAAGACCGAGCGAGAGATCAAGAAGGAGTTTGGTGACTTTTACAACTCCTCCACAGGTAGCTATGCCTACTCCGACTCGGGAAAAATCAGCAAGGACTACTCCCCGGAGACCCGGAAGAAGCACAAGAAGAGCAAGAAGCGTTTAAAGTCCTCATCCACTGTGGAGACCTCGCCTCTCATGGTCACAGCTCCATCAACACCCTCTATATTCGATATGCATTCCACCTCCTCCGCCGTTGGGGACTTCAAGCCCAAGTTGGATAGCTTTGATGATCTGAAAACAGAGCCTGCGGCAACCCTGCCGGTGGACATCTCAGCCAGCGAACGGCGGAAGCATAAGGAGCGCAAGGAGAAGAAGCGCGAGAAGCTGAGGAACCTCACAGAGACCAACGCAACCGTTGGAAGCGTGACCACAGTAAACACAACCAATCCTCCAATGGTTACAAATGAGGTGATTAGCTCTGAGAAACTTTCCAAGGAGGAGCGTCATAGACTGAAAAAGTCCAAGAAATCCAAGAGTTTGGACACATCCTCAACCAACAGGCTTTACAACTCGGGTTCTGTGCTCCCAACGGCCTCACCCATGCCTGCTACACCCACCTCAGCGCCCTTGTTGGCTGCCCAGCCTCCTTCGAAGCGGGGCGAAGACAAAATGGAGTTCATCTTTGGCATCATTTCCGATGAGGATGAGTCCCAGTTCACGGATGAACAGGGGGAAAACAACAAGGAGGCCACCTGTGTCTCCACAACAGGTCCCATTGTCTCGGCAGCTTTGCAGACTTACAAGCAGGAGCCAGCCACACCTGTCAAGAACCTAGAGGCAAGCAATCAAATGCCTGTCCAAGAGGAGGAACAGCAGCCACAGCAGCAGGAGAGAAGTCGCCAGGCGACGGGAGGCAGCAGCTCAACCTCACATGCAGACAGAGAACGCCATCGCAAGGAGAAGCGCGAGAAGAAGCGTCGCGAGAAGTCGCAGCGAGAACAGCAGCAGCAGCAACAACAGCAGCAGCAGCAATCCTCAAAGCTCCAAGATGCCAAGGTTGAAGATGACAACAGTGTGGACATGGACGAGGCAGGACGAGCTCTAGAGGCCCAACTGATGAATGACTTTGATAGCAAATTAATGCCCGAAGAGGAGGCCACGCCATCCACAGCCAACACCTACAGATCCGACATGGCAGATGTGTTCCGATTCTCCGACAACGAAGACAACTCCTTGGACATGATCAAGCAGGGAAGCAGCAGCATTAAACCAGAGCAACAGCAGCAGCAGCAGGAACAGCACAAGAGCAAGGACAAGAAGAAGAAAAAGAAGCGCTCCAAAGAAGAGAAGCAGCAGCATCGGCGCGAGTCCTTACCCCTTGTGGCACCGCCTCCTCAGCCTGGTGTACCAACCTCCGCGCCACCCACTCCTGGCAAGCTTACGGTTAATGTGCAGGCTGCCAGCAAGCTTGCGGATGAGCAGATGGAAGCCAAGCGTCCTTCGTCGCCACCTCTATGCAAACCTTCGCCCAGCTTGCCTTGTCTGCTGGGCGACGATGACGACGAGGATGTGTTGCTGAACAAGCCCAAGCTTCCCACGAAACCCACCACGCCCACGAGTCGAGGCAGTGACAGTCTGACTACGCCTACTCGGGAGAAACCACGCCTGATCAGTCCCATACCCAAGACACCCACAATCACCAACAGCACCTCTATGCTTTCCACCCAGTCCGCCGAGACTCCTGTGAGCACAGGAGCCGGAGTGAGTTCCTCCTCGGCATTGGCCACAACGCCCACATCTTCTACAGCTGCCAGTGCCACCGCTGGAGCAGAAGCATCGCCCACCAGCAGTGCTGCAGGTCAGAAGAAGAAGGAGATCTTCATACCCGGATTTGATGGTCAGCTAGATGATAGGATCAGTGAATCCGCCGTGCAATCCATCTCAGCAGAGTTCAACTCAACCTCTTCGCTGCTGGATAATCTGGGAGATGAGCCCAAGATACCGGTGGCATCGCCACCGAGTGCCATAAAGCCCCAGGAAAAGATGGAGGAGAGCAAGTCGCGTGTGACCATTTCCCAAGAGGAGACCGAGAGTGCCGTCTCCGCTTTGTTGGGAGAAAGCTTTGGCACTTCCTCAACGGCAGACTACTCTCTGGATGGCATGGATGAGATGAACTCAGTGAGTGATGTGGAGACGCCAGCTTTAGTGGTGGCAGAGCCCGATGAAGAGGCCGCATTGGCAGCCAAGGCCATTGAGGCAGCTGTAGAGCCGGTGGCCTGTATACTGGAAGAGCCTGAACTGGAGCCAGAACCGGAGCATGAACCAGAACCCTCACCAGAGCCGGAGCGGGAGCCAGAGCGTGAGCGTGAGCCAGTGGCTAGTTCGGGAGCCTTGCTGGATCCCGAGGAGATCAACAAGGCAGTGCAGAGCCTGAGGCACGAGGACATGATGGACATCAAGGCGGACACGCCGCAGTCGGAGCGGGACTTGCAGATTGACACAGACACCGAGGAGAATCCCGACGAGGCGGATAGCAGTGGACCCAGTCTAAAGATTGATGAAACGGCCCAAAGCTCCTCGTCTTCGCCGGAGAAGTCCATGGTCAGCTCAGCTGCCCGAGAAGTGCCAGTCAAGGACACAAGTCCAAAGGAGGCCAAACCCAAGGCCAGCCAGGAGACGGTGTCGGTGATAACCAAGCTGCCAACCCTGGAGCCACAGCAGAAACCCACAGCCACCTCTTCTCCAGCCAAGATAGAGCCACCCACCATCAGCAAACTGCAACAGCCTTTGGTTCAACCTGTGCAGACAGTGTTGCCTGCTCCTCCGCACATTCATCCCTCTGGCAATCCACCGCCAGTCATCAACCTGGATCTGTCCAATGTAATGAGCAACTGCTCCAACTCCAACTCCAGCACATCTTCCACAACAGCCTCTGCCTCAGCTTCAGCTTCCATTTCCTTTGGCAGTCCCACATCTACTCCTGGTAACCAACACATCATGCCCCAGGCTTCGACTCCCAAGCAGCAGCAGCAGCAGCAGACACTGCGGACGCAGTCGCTCATCATGCAGCCACCTACAATATCCATACCAGAGCAAACCCCACACTTTGTGGTGCCGCAGATGGTGTTGTCGCCGCATCAGCATCCGCAGCAGCAGCCGGGAGCCTTTATGGTGGGCATAAGAGCGCCATCGCCTCACAGTCCCCTACTGTCACCAGGACGACCTGCAGGTGGAGTACAAACGCGTGGTGTTGTGGGTCAACTTAGCCCCGTGGGAGGACGTCCTGTGGTTAATCCACAGCAGCAGCATGCCTTGATGACCAGCCCGCAGGGCAGCATAAGTCCCCTGGTCAGTCCCACTTCTCGAGTCGTGCCCACCAACAGCTCACCGACCACCAGCAAGCCCAATAGCTATCAGCCCAGGAACCAGCAGCAGCAACAGCAGAGCCAACAAATGCCTTCACCCAAGTCTGTAATAGAGCTGCAGACCTCGCCGCAGTTGATGCCCATTCCTTTGCAGAAGATGCCTCCAATGGCAGTGCCACATCATCCCACGATCATCAGCAAAGTGGTCACAGTGCAGCCGCAGCAGGCCACCCAAACCCAAGTGGCCAGCTCGCCGCCTTTGGGAAGTCTTCCCCCGCACAAGGCTCTGCATGTGAATGCTCAGCAGCAGCAGCAACATCACCAGGCGCAGCAGCAGCAGCATTCGCCTCAAATGATGGCCCAAAAGCAGCATCAGCAGCATGTGCAGCAGTTTATGCATCAGCAAATGATGCAAAGACAGCAGCAACAGCAACAACAGCACATGCAGCAGCAGCAGCAACAGATGTCGCCTCAGATGACGCAACACCAAATGCAGCAGCAGCAACAACACCACCAGGCTCAGCAGCAACATCAGCTAAACCAGCAACATCAGGCCCAACAGCAACATTTATCGCAGCAGCAGCTTCAGGCGCATCAGCAACTCAACCAGCAGCACCAGGCTCAACAGCAACATCAGGCCCAGCAACAACATCAAGCCCAGCAACAGTTGAACCAGCAACATCAGGCCCAACAGCAGCAGCAGTTGCACATCCAGAAGCTGCAACAGCAGATTCATGCCCCCCAGCAACAGCCCTCGCCCCAGGGAGGAGCCACTCACTTGGCACCGCCTTCAGCACAAATGTATGCGCAGCAGCAGCAACACCATGCGCAGCAGCAGCAGCAACATCCTCGTGGATTGCCACCTCAACATATGCAACACAGTCCCCCCTGCAAGCCGGTTAACCAAGGTCCTCCTCAGCCTGCAATCTTGACCAGAGTGAATCCCCAAGCACAGCAACTGTTGCAGCAGGCACCACACCATCCCCAGCAGCAGCAGCAGGCACCACACCATCCCCAGCAGCAGCAGGCACCACACCATCCCCAGCAGCAGCAGCCACAGTCTGCACCTCATCCCTCTCCCCTCAATGTAATTCAGAGTGCACCCAAGTTGATAGTCCAACAGCACATAGTGGCGCCACCACCAAGCCAGATTGCTGCACAGCCACAGGTTACATCAAATGCTATACACTATCCTCCAACCAATCAGCCAAGCAAGGAGAGCCCTGGGTCTGCCCCAGTGGAACCACCATCCCCACAGACTATGCCAGGCCAGCTCAAGACCTCCGAGAGCGTCTCGGTGATACGCACACCAACTCCCACCACCAGTTCGGCTGTGATCTCTCCCAAGACAGGAGCTCCCACTTCCCTGCTGACGGAGGAGAATGTGATCAAGATCTCGCAGCCCAAGCAGGATGAGCTCATCGAGCAAGACTCCAAGGAGGTGGACAGTGACTACTGGTCGGCCAAGGAGGTGCATATAGACACGGTGATCAAGAAACTGGATGGACCGATGGTAAACAAAGAAGAGAAGAGGCCACTGGAGATGAAAGCAGGAGTTGCCCCGGTTTCAGTAGCGCCACAACCCGTGGAGCTGCCTCAGGAGACGCCGCTACCAACACCTCTTTCGGTGGTGAACAGCTCATCCAACGACCATGACACAGAGGATGAAACAGAGACCCGACAACTGCCGCCCGTGAAACCAGCCACTCCCACAGTGGGCAGACCACCGGGCAGAGGAGGCACTGCCAAGCGAGGGCGCCAGCCAAGGGGAGCCAAGAAGCTGGGAGGTATTCCCTTGAACCCAGTGGGAGCTGGAGTTCCAGGCGCTGACTCTGGTTTGGTGCTGCAGCCAGGTGACAATGGAGTGCAGACCAGAGGACTGAGGAAACCTGCCACTGCTCCAGTGACCAGAGGCAGAAAGGGACGCCCGCCGAGGAACCTGCTCCTGCAGCAACAGCAACTGCAGCAACAGCAGTTGGATCTGCAGAGGAAGGCCATGGAAATGTCAGCAGCCTCGGCACCAGCACCTCCCCCGCAAGCAGCAGTTCCTCCAGTGGCAGCACCGGTTCCCACACCGCCCACTCCTGTGCTCACAGCCGCCGAGAAAAAGGCCAGGAATCAGGCCTTGACGCAGGCTCAGGCGCAGGCTCAAGCACAGAATCCAGTTCCTGGCTCCAACCAGGACATTTACGAGTTCCACGAGGATGCCGGCGAAGAGCCCAAGGCCAAGGCTAACGCTAATGCTGGAGCACCCACCGAGGATCAGCGACCACGTCTCATTATGACCATCAACAAGGCGCAGACCTCGATCAAGAACAGCAGCGAGATGGAGCAGCCTCAGCAGTCAGGTCAGACACCTCAGCCCCCACAGGAGGTGGATCCCAATGCCGGCGACAGCGCCGAGTCCAGCAACACGCGCAAGTCGCGACGCCTTCAAGAGAAGGAGGATCGCAGCACTGTGGATGACATCATTGAGGATGTGGTAAGAAATACCAACACACCCACAGGAGCGCAGCAGCAGCAGCAGTTGCCAAAGGGCGCCCAGACACCGCCGCGTCGCTCGGGCAGAAATGCCCAGGCCAAGAAGGCGGATGCAGTGCCGCACACCACGGCCACACCCAATGCAGTGGGTCGCCCCAGGCGTTCCAAGGACAGAAAGACCATTTGCGAACCGCCTGCAAGCATGATGATGGAGGATTCAATGGCCTCCAATCCCAGTCCGGCGGCTCCTAGCTCGATACTGCTGCCGCCGCCAGCACCAGCGCCTGAGGTGGTTTCAGTGCCTGTGCAGCCACATATGCCGCAGTTGGACAGCAAGGAAGTGGTGGAACCACCAGTTCTTCCTCCTCCTCCTCCTGCTCCGGTTAGTAATCCCACTCCAGCGCCTGTTGTTGTGCCCGTTGCGGTCTCCCATCCCGTGGCACCGCCTGCCAAGCCTACGATGCCACAGCATCCCAAGAAGAAGGCCATTGCAGCAGCTGAGATTGAGTCGTATCAGGCCATCAACAACTCATCCATACCTAGCGGAGGCTTGCCTATGCACCAGACAGCGGCTCCGGCCACGCAGAAGATCACTGGCGGGGCAGCGGATGCGGTGAGCAAGGCTCTGGTGGATCCCGTCACGGGAGTAATCACAGCAGGAATGCCGCAGGGTAAGGAGGGCAATCTGCCGGCAGCCACAGCAGCAGCTCCTTCCAATGAGACGCCGCCTACCATGCAACAGCAGCAGCAGCCACACCAACCGCAGCAGCAACACCAGCAGCAGCAGCATCAACATCACTTGCAGCAGCCACATCATCATCAGCCTCCCCAGCAGCAGCAGCAGCAGCAGATCAGTGCCACTGTGATTGCTCCTCTGGCCACTACTCCGATTACAGCCTTGAGCAAATCCGTGCAGCTAGAGGCTGCGGCAGCAGCAGCCTTGCTCAACAAGCCAGTGAGTGTCTTGATGAAGGGAAGCCCCAATCCTTTGGTGATCCAACAGCCGCCGCCACAACAGATGACGGTTCCACCCAAGCAGCCCATAATCCTGCAGCAGAATCCCTTGCCAACAGTGCTGCAGCATGCCCAGCACAGCAATGTGAGGCCACCGCAGCCACTGAAGGCGCATGTCCTGAACAGGGAAAAGAATCTGCAGCAGCAGCAGCAACAGCAGCAGATGACGCCTACCAAGCCGCCAGGAGGATCAGGAGCACCTCATCCTCAGCATCAGCAGCAGCTGCCTCTAAGCAGCCACTTGTTGCTCACAGATGCCGTTGGTAACCAACAGCTCTTGCAGCCTCAGATGATGGCTCGTCACATGCAGCAGCAGCAACAGCAACAGCAGCAGCAGCAGCATTTGCTGGTAAATGTGCCACCACCACCAACGGCTCACTCGCCGCACTCGCCTAGGATTCCTGGACAGCAGCTGGGCGGAGCAGGAGCCACGGTCACGCCACAGCAGCAGCAACAAACGCTGGTGATCAAGCAGGCGGCGCCGGCAGCTCCGCCACAGATCCTGCATGTGGTGAGCTCCAAGGCCTCGGTGGTGCCGCCCACCTCATCAGGATCGGGAGTACACTTGCAGATGGGCAAGCCCACCTTTGGCTATGCGCCGAATGTCCTGCCACCCAATGCAACGGCGGCATCTGTGCAGCAGCAACAGCAGCAGGCAATGTATAAGCCACCCAATCAGCAGAAGAGCGGTCTCCCACCTCATGGCATGATCTTGCCTACGCATCCGGCCATGCTGTTGCAGCAGAAGCCACCGGCACATCTGCAGGCGCAGCAGCATCAACTGACACCCTCGCCGCCGCTGCCTGGCAAGCCCAATCCCGTGGTGCACAGCCTGCAGGCGGCGGCGCAGATGCTGCCCGGCAGTCCGCCGCCCGTGTCCGCGGCTGTCCTGAAGTCGGCCCAGCAGCAGGTTAACTCTGCAGCGGGTAAGTTGCATCTTTTGAGGATTTTCTGTAGCCGAAATAACTTTGATTTTCTTTCAGTGCTGCGCACAGCCATACCAAACATCAGTCCGCAGGGACAGCCGAGGGTCTCGCCTTTGGTTCTGCCGCCAGGAATGGCAGGAGTGCCGCCCTTCGATGCCAGCTTGGTGAGTTTCTTTATGATTTCTTGGGAAATGGATTAGTTTTCAGTTGGTTTCAGTTTATATATTTCCTTTGGAAGCTTTTTGGAATACATAAAGCCCCTACTAACCCTTAACTCTTAACTATTTACCATTTAAAAATTGCTTAACTTGTGGATGCAGCATGACCTGGGCGCCTATGTCAGTGGACGGCGCACCCAGAGTCCGCCGCCAGCCCATCAGCAGGCATCGCCCATCACACCGGTAATGCACAAGTTTTACTTGCGGAGCTTTCAAGTAGCGTAAACCAATCGAGATAGCATCTAGAATTTACCCTAAATCTATAGAATTTTGAATAAAATAAAGCTTTTTCTATAATGTTTTCCCCTTTCCACCCTTTTAGAACGACTCTACGTATCGCGGAGTGACCGCTTCCAGGGACTTTATGCTCTACCAGCATCACCTGATGCGCAGCGGCGAGTATGATGACAAGATGATCAGCAGCAGTCCCCCGCTAGAGCTGCGACGTCCTGGCAGTGGTCCACCCCGAGTCATAGCAGTGCCGCACAGCCTGCAGAGTCCCCAAGATCGCACAGCAGCTGGTAAGGACAAAACTCTTCTAAATCTAGTGCCTTTAGAAATCCTTATTAATTTGTATTTCAAATCTCCCCCAGACTCACCGCAAATGGCTCAGGTCTACGTGCACAATGCCCGCATTCCGCCAGCCCACTTCAGTGACATAGCCTCGCGTGGTGGTTACTACGAGAGCGGTGGCATGCAGTTAGAGCCACCGCCAGCCCATCGACCGGCTGCCTCTATAAGCGTGGTGGTGCCACCACCCATGCCCAATGTCTCGGCGGGCAGTCCGTTTATAGGACGCGAAGTCCTGCACCCAGGAAGCAAGCAGGCCTTGGAGATGACGCTGGAGGAGCGAGAGATGGAGCGTATGTCCATGATAGCAGCTGTGGGTGAGTGTCAACAAAAAAAAAAAAAAAAAAACATAAACACCAAGAAGAACAAGCTAACGTTAATTATTTTTTAAATTTTTTAGTAAAACAACAACAAGAGCAAATGCCACCTGTCATACACGCTGGCATGGAGCTGTCTGCCCAGCAGCAGGCACCGCCAACAATGGCTCCACCCCCCGGCGACTCGCTGGTGACTTTACTCCAACGCTATCCGGTGATGTGGCAGGGTCTGTTGGCCCTGAAAACCGATCAGGCAGCAGTCCAAATGCACTTTGTGCATGGAAATCCAAATGTGGCAAGAGCCTCGCTGCCCAGCTTGGCGGAGACAAACACGCCGCTGCTAAGGATTGCCCAGAGAATGAGACTAGAGCAGACACAGCTAGAAGGAGTGGCCAAAAAGATGCAGGTAAGAGGGAGGAAATCTAAATCAATTTTGAGGGATTTACTAAACATGAATCTCCTTTCAGGTGGACAAGGAACACTGCATGCTGTTGGCCTTGCCCTGTGGTAGGGATCATGCCGATGTGCTGCAGCACTCGAGGAACCTTCAAACTGGATTTATAACCTATCTGCAACAGAAAATGGCCGCCGGCATTGTGAATATACCCATTCCAGGCAGCGAGCAGGCAGCCTATGTGGTGCACATTTTCCCGGCCTGTGATTTTGCCAATGAGAACCTGGAGCGTGCAGCGCCCGATCTCAAGAATCGTGTGGCCGAGTTGGCCCACCTCCTGATAGTCATAGCCACTGTGTAAGTCACAGATTAAAAACTGGATGTAAAAGAAACCCGAAACGGATGCGACTTAAAAACCGGATATAAACTCTTTGCACGGTCACTACAATTGAAACCAGCATGAACGATAGAATGAAAAACAAGTTACGCTCTTCTAGTATTTTAAGTAATTTTAAAAATAGCGATTAAACAAGCAAAAGTTTAAAACAAAAGCAAAGCGAAACACTAAAAGAACTTCAAGAAGCAGACACACACGCGTGCAAACTTTATTGAATATAAAAATAAATGCAAGAGAGAAGGCAGAAACACAACGTAAATGTAAAGAAAGAAAGCTGCATATTTGTCGAAATTGATGATTATTAAATTAAACCTTTCCTAATTTAGAAGAAAACCCAAACAATTAACCAGAAGCTTGCAAAGTATCGTTAAGTTTGATCTCAAGAAAGAAAGTTTTATTTTTGCTTAATTTAAAAAAGAAGAAAAACACACGTAAAACACACAACACACACGAAAAGCAAACAAATTGAAACGAAAAATGTTAAGAGAAACCACACATAATAACTGTACTATGCATACTACTATCCCATACATAATATGAATATCCAAATCCAAGCAACCCCTAAACACACACAAAAGTTTAAGTTTTGATTCAACTAATTCAGAGGAAATTTATAGTTAATGCCCCATGTTCTACAGAGTTTCTGCAACCGCCCACAATCTTTCTGCCCGATTCTTCGGTTCCTTGGCTCTATGGAAGGCCACCACCTGCCTAGGCCGACCTCACATAGACCCAAAGAACTGCTCGGAGTCGTGGCCTGATCCCTGCTGTTGTTCCAAGCACAATTTTATATAGGTTTAGCGATGCGCCCAGAGGCTTTTTCCTACGATTACACATACATACAACACGTATACATTATGCATTATTACATTATACATTTATCCTAGAAGCGTATGTTTAATTATAATCGAATATTGTAAGCCAAATACTTTTTACTTTAAAGCAACACACGTCTTTCGCTCTGCAACAGAGCTGCGTTCTTTGCTTTTTGAACTTTCCAAGCCTTTTGTTTTTCGTTAGTTTTTCCTACTTTTTTTTTGTTTTATTTTATAAAATTCAACAACAACACTGCCACAAAAACACACTAAACTAAAATCTGTACGATTTCAAACCTGGCGAAAGCTTGCGAAACTTTGTAGAATGTCGGGCTCACACACAGACTAAATATGATGATACAATATACAACCTATATAGTACCCGTACCCTCTCTCTGTACACTCCTTAAGCTTAAAGAACACAAACACACACACACACACGTACGTTTTCACAGCCCCCCTTGTAAATTATGTGACGACGACACCGGCGATCGCTGAGTAGTAAGAAAAGATATAAAAAAAAATACAAATACAAATATTAAATGAGAAAGAAAGAAACACAACATTGTAAAATATTTAAATTATTTAGACTCTAAACAAGTATATGAAATGTAAATACAGTTTAATTAGTGTTTAGCGCGTATTTAGTTGTATGTTTTAAAACTAAACTAAAGAGAGAACAACTGTACATTATATAACACAACTAACGATACGAGAGGGGCGCCAGGGGAGGGGGATCTGCAGATCAGAGCCTCTCTCGGGCCCACAAAAACGGATGAAAAAAAAAAATAAAACAGAAGAAAAGAGGGAAGAGAGTAGGAGTAAGAGAAGAAAGTGAGAAAGCAGCAAGTAAACAACACACACACACACACACCAACACACACTTTTTCAAAGTTGAACAACAGATGAGGAAAAGCGCTGTTAAAAATATGTTAATGTATAAGTTGTATGTTTTAAGACACTTTTTAGTTATTTCCTAAGTTAATTTGAAGAAACCGATTAAATTACACTTATTTCTTACATCTGCTTTTGTTTTTAATTTTCTTAAATCCCCCCAAAAGGACAGAAACCAGGCTCCAGAACAGTGTTCCAGATGGAAATTTGGCTTTCCCCCCTACAAAATCTGAAATATTTTAAATTTCCCCCCAGAAAAATACAATAATTTTTGAGATTTCTTAATTTTTACTGTATTTTTTCATAATATTTACAAAAAATATTCCCTAATCTTTTCCCTTAACATTCTTCCCCCCTTATGTTCCCCCTGATCTGGAAACACTGCACCAGAATCCTTAAATAGAGTTTACAAAACCGAAACAGAACCGAACAAAAACCGATTTCTATCTCTCTATAGATTTCTCGGCCCGTAATACCCAAATCGAACCCAATAGCGAAATGCAACTTATACATACATATACATAAAATATATAGATGTTAATGTTATACCTGTAATTAAATAAATTCTATACCTATGCAAAACGCGAGAGTTTTCTTGAGTGGAAAATTTTGTTTCAGATTCAAAAAGCGCGCCTTGAAGCGGTTATGGTTTGAGACTTGGCTAGACAAGTATCGGGGAAAAATTGCTACGCAGTTCTGATTGGAATTTTCACAGACCCACTGCTCAGCTGTTTTATCGATATTCGGCATATTCGATATATCCATACTATCGCGAGTGCTCAACCCATCTCTAGTTTACAGAAATTAAAATAATTCCGGAAAAAACAATGGTTAACGATAAGAAACGTCGCTCGCGGTCGCGGGAACGCTACCGGGACGACCGCCCGGCCTTGGGCAATCCCCGGGACCGGGAGCGGGATAGAGAACGCGGCAGGGAGCGACAGGACAGGCCGTACGACAGGGAGAAGGACAGACGTCAGCGGCGGTCGCGTTCCCGGTAAGTCTTATTTTCTATGGTATGATGAAATAGTTTTATAACAATGTGGTTTCCAGGGAGGATCGTGGCAGGCGCAGGTCACCCGAACGGCAACGGCCCCGGGATAATGCCCGTGAGCGATCCAGGGAAAGAGGCAATGCCGAGAAGAAGCCAAAGCTGGAGGGGGGAGACGGCAGTGGCCCGCCCAAGCCATTGATTGTTCAGGATGATGAACCCAACGACGACACCAAGGACACCAAGCTCAAGAAGGAGCCCCTCTCCCTGGAAGAACTATTAGACAAGAAGAAGCGCGAGGAGGAGGCCCGGAGTAAGCCCGTTTTCCTCACCAAAGAGCAACGCGCCCAGGAAGCGCTCAAGCGTCGCCAAGAGGAAGTGGAGCGGGTAAGAGCCGCCCACGAGGCTGCGCGCGAGCAAATGGCCGCCGCCAGCAAGGTCAGCATCTCCATGGGCACGGCCATGGCCTCGGGGGCACCGCCGCCGGCCATAATGGCGCCGCCACCCAAGCCAGATCGTCGGGAGCGTGGAGGAGGAGGCGGCGGCGGTGGTCGTGGCGATCGCGGCGGCGACAGAGGAGAGCGCGGTGAACGCGGAGAACGTGGCGGTGGCGGAGATGACAAGCGGGCAGAGGACCTCACCCACAAGGACAAAGAAAAGGAGCTGGAGGCTATTCGAGAACGGTATCTGGGCATCATCAAGAAGAAGCGACGAGTGCGGCGTCTCAACGATCGCAAATTTGTGTTTGATTGGGATGCCGGCGAGGACACCTCCATAGACTACAACAATCTGTACAAGGAGCGCCACCATGTGCAGTTCTTTGGACGCGGCAATGTGGCAGGAATCGACATCAAGGAGCAGAAGCGCACACAGAGCAAGTTCTACGGGGATCTGCTCGAGAAGCGGCGGACCGAGGCGGAGAAGGAGCAGGAGAAGGTGCGCCTAAAGAAGATGAAGCGCAAGGAGGACAAGCAAAAGTGGGACGATCGCCACTGGTCCGAGAAGGACAACGATGAGATGACCGAGCGGGATTGGCGCATCTTCCGCGAGGACTACAACATCACCATCAAGGGCGGCCGGATACCCAATCCCATCCGGAGCTGGAGTGAGTCCGGGTTCCCCAAGGAGATCATCGACATCATCGACAAGGTGGGCTACAAGGAGCCCACGCCCATTCAACGCCAGGCCATTCCCATTGGCCTGCAGAACAGGGACATTATTGGCGTGGCCGAGACTGGCTCCGGCAAGACGTTGGCCTTCCTCATACCCCTTCTGTCCTGGATCCAGTCGCTGCCCAAGATCGAGCGACTGGAGGATGTGGATCAGGGACCATATGCCATTATTATGGCTCCCACTCGTGAGTTGGCCCAGCAGATCGAGGAGGAGACCACGAAATTCGGCCAGCCGCTGGGTATACGCACGGTGGTCGTGGTGGGCGGTTTGTCCCGCGAGGAGCAGGGCTTCCGCCTGCGCCTGGGCTGTGAGATTGTCATCGCCACGCCGGGTCGTCTCATTGATGTGCTGGAGAATCGCTACCTGGTGCTCAACCAGTGCACCTACATTGTGCTCGACGAGGCCGACCGCATGATAGACATGGGTTTCGAGCCCGATGTCCAGAAGATCCTGGAGTACATGCCGGTGACGAATCTCAAGCCGGATACCGAGGAGGCCGAGGACGAGAGCAAGCTGATGGAGAACTTTTACACCAAGAAGAAGTACCGCCAGACGGTGATGTTCACGGCCACGATGCCGCCGGCGGTGGAGAGGCTTGCCAGGTCGTATCTCCGGCGTCCTTCTACGGTGTATATTGGCTCGGTGGGCAAGCCCACGGAGCGCACGGAGCAGATCGTGTACATGATGGGCGAGAACGACAAGCGCAAGAAGCTCATGGAGATCCTCTCGCGCAAGATCGATCCTCCTATTATCATTTTCGTCAACCAGAAGAAGGGCGCCGATGTCTTGGCCAAGGGTCTGGAGAAGCTGGGCTACAACTCGTGCACTTTGCATGGTGGTAAAGGACAGGAGCAGCGAGAGTATGCCTTGGCTGCTCTCAAATCGGGAGCCAAGGATATTCTGGTGGCCACCGATGTGGCTGGTCGTGGTATTGACATCAAGGATGTCTCCCTGGTCATCAACTACGACATGGCCAAGACCATCGAGGACTACACCCATCGTATAGGTCGTACGGGTCGTGCTGGCAAGACGGGTTGCGCCATTTCCTTTGTCACCAAGGACGACAGCGCCTTGTTCTACGACCTGAAGCAGTGCGTCACAGCCAGTCCGGTGTCGGTGTGTCCGCCGGAGCTGACGAATCACCCGGAGGCGCAGCACAAGCCGGGCACAGTGGTCACCAAGAAGCGGCGGGAGGAGAAAATATTCGCCTGAGTTTGGACATAAAATCTTTAAAAACTTTTAGGAAAATAAGTAAAAATAACTAATAAAGGTTCTACAAAATTTCTTTTTGGAAATGCTTTGCTTTATTCCTGGAGGCTTACTCCCTCATCTGTGTAATCTCAGGAAGAAAGCATTCCTGCTCTGCTTGGAGTCCAAAGGCAAATACTTGTCATAAAAGTCCAGTATAATCTCCTCCATTTTAAAGCCAAACTTCTGGTACAACATCACAGCGGAGCTATTGGCGGAGACGTGGAGAGTGATGTCCTTGGTCATGCACGTCTGGATGAGATGGTAGAGCATGAAGCTAGCAATGCCACTGCGCTGCCAATTGGGACGCACGGCCATAAAGGAGATATAGGCCTCGTTGTAGCCCACATCTGGAACCAGAAAGCCGCAGCCTATGACCAGTTTTCTGTACAAGGCCACCACGCTGTAGTCGGGGTAACTGAGGCACTCGCTCACTAAAGGATTAAGGATGGGAATTAAAAGGAAATAAAAGAAAATAGCAGTGTAATTACCATCTATGTTTGGCCAGAAGGAGCTCTGCAGAAGCGCATTCACCGCTGGTATGTGCTGTGGTCTCACAAAGCAAAAGTCTATGGTGGCTCTTGTTGGATGCAAACCACTCACGCGATGCTGCAGCTCGCACATGAGCTTCAGCCAGGGAGGAACCATGGTTTCACTGCGGAAAATGAAAGGATGCAGCACTCTCTGGGAGTAGGGCGACTCAAATAGCTCGTACTGGGTGCAACCAGCCAGGCGGGCATGAAAAGAGCTCCTGGCATCCTGCCTCGAATGCGCTAGGAGCTGGTACCTGTCCAGTATCTGTGATTGATGGTGGCCCTGCATCTTCAGCCTGGCTCTGGCCAGGGGATCAATGTGGTCATCCAAGTTAAATATGGGACGATTGTGCTCTCTTTTCCACTTGCGAAGGCAAAGCTTTCGGTACAGGCGCCGCACATAGGCGGGTATAGTTATCTGGCACTCCTGCTCTAAGGAGCATATTCTGTGGAGCCGCTGGTACAACTTTTGCTCTTCGTAGACACTCATAAGTTCGAGATTCCCGCCGGTAGAGGATAGGTCATCGGATTCTTGGGTTACCTGCAACCAGGGCCAATTTCTACGCGGCTGCCTTTTAAAGCCACTTGGCTGGCAGGGTTCTATCAGGGTATCCTGGTCATCCGCTTGACCTGCGTCTCCGATGTCTTCCTCCATTTCCTCTTCCATTGGCTCATCTTTGACATTGACATTCGGCTCCTGCGCCTGAAAGTTTGTTATCTGCACTATGCGTGGCTTGTAGTCTTGCTCCTCTTCCTCCTTCTGACCATTTTCATCTCCTCCCTTGGTCTCATCATCGGTCTCTGTGCTGCTTTCTTCCATTAAATTCTTGCTGGCCGCCTCCTTGTTTTCCTTGGTTTCCTGGACTTCCTCTGCTAGGTTGGGCATCCCAAAGTTGTTGTCCATGTCGAAGAAGCCTCCTGTACTTGGAGGCTGTTCCAGCAAGGCTTCGGTCATAAAGAAATCCGATTTGCCAGCTCCTATTAGAGGAGCTGGCATTATGCCAGGGAGATTGTTGAACATGCTCAGGTCATCGCCGCCCAAACTCTCGGCTAGGAAGTCCATCAGACTGGCCTGAACACTGCTCAGGGGCTGATTATGCGGCTCCTCTTCCTGCTCATCTGTGATAAGATTAGGGATTTCCTGAGGAACTGCAGCTTCAGCGGGAGTAGAAGGTGGTTGCTGGTCCACTGGCGAGGCAGGAGCCTGGAACTTTGGCTGGCGACCCATATAGGGACTGCAAAGGAAAGAGTTTTTCAATGAAAAGCTGGCTTGGGTGTGGAGTGGTTTAGGATAACTTACATGGTGCGGGCACAGCCCTCGCCGGGTTGAATTGCTTCCGGTTCTAGCTTTATGATCTTGGTTTTATCCTCGGTATGATCGGTTACAGAGATCTCGCTGCTGCAGCTGTTCTCATCCACAGCGGGCAGGCGCTTCTCATTGCGCAGTTGCAGTCTTTGGAGTTGTTTCTTTTCATCTGGAGGAATTGGGTGTTAATTCGGATTATATCTTGAACTCTTATAATAACTCACATTCCCTGAGCACACTTCGTGGAGTTTGGAAGGGCTTGGCCAGCTTCCACCAGCCATTTTCCTGGAACACATCCAAGCCAGACTGAAAGTACACCGGGCTGTTGTGCGAGAGAGCACCGGAAACGGAACCAAACCACTGCTTGCGACGCCGACTAAAGAAGGACTAAACATATTAATCCACTCATAATGATAATCAAGACTCAAACACCACTCACACGTGCGCTCCAAAGATGTAGTTCCAGTTCTTGTCCACAAAACTAATGATGTGCGTGCGCCAGTGGAAGAAGCCATGGTGTCCGAGACCCTTCTGCTTGATGGACAGATTGTACAGTGTCAGCGTGAGCACCAGCAGCCAGGGTATCCTCTGGCGTATGAAGCGCTCCTTGATCACGGAAGCGGAAGGGGGCACGGGCCCGCCCTGCAGCTGCTCCTCCACACATTTCACGCACGTGAAATCGAAGAAGACGTCGCCCAGCAAATCGCCCGGCGTGCTGGCATGTGGCAGGCACTTGATGTGGACCAGGCGATGGCACTCCATACACTCCAGGTAGTTGTCCTCCTCCACAGGCGACTCGCATTTGCTGCAATCCATTTTTTTTAAGTTTTAATTTTTAAAAACGAAACCAAACAAATTTTATAGAGATGCAAGTCTATCGATAACTCGATACAAGCAACTTGTTGATAAAATACAGTGTGCCCAACGTCCCTAACGGGTGGGATTTAGTACCAAAAAAAGGCTACAGGAGCGGTGTCAAATGATCCTCTGAAAACGGGTTTTGAAACATTATAGTGTTGATTCTGAAATGTTTTTTTTTTAACGTAAATTTTAATAACTAAATTAACTTTGTTAAATCCTCTGTTATTTCAACGGCATCTCAGTATTTATTAATGCTCTTAAATAAAAAATTTGATGTACAAAAATGTTCTCTCGCTCAGGTACTAGAATGTGTGCTGCGAAACGAATAAAAATAGTTTTGCAACACTCTTTCCGCGCGGCATGCCGTTGGTGAACACTGTCATACTCAGCTCCAGCTCAATATCCTGCGGACCCTCCAGAGATTGCTTTAACAGGACATTTACCTGATTGTTGTTCTTTAAAGTGCTGTAAGAAAAAAGAAAACAAGTTTTATTATTGTTTTTAATAATTTATAACTAATACTTACTCGAAATTGGCATCGGTGGCCTTCTGAACATTGTTGGTTGTTTGGATACGAACAATTTTGAGGTCAAAATCGATGTTATCGTACCACAAAGGGCCTCTGAGCGTGAAAATGGGACGACCCTCTGGAGGGATCATCAGCTTGGAGACAAAGGTAATGAAATTGTACGTATAAGCTGAAGGCTTAGTGTAGCAGTCTTCTCCGTCGCAAAAGTTACTATTCTGACGGCATCGGCTGGAAATAAAGGATTTAATTATTTTCTTGTTAAATAAGAAATTTATTTATTTACTTTTTCTGCTCCTGGTCAATGGTGTATCCATGGGGACAATTAATTGTTGTACACTTGTAGCTACCTCGGGTATTTGTGCAAATATCATTCTTTGGGTTATAAAAATAAAATTAAGATAATTTAAATAATAATCTTAAATTAATAAATAAATAAAACACTCACACGACCAGTGCACACATGACTGCCCGTCTCGGTGGTACACTCATCTATATCCCGGCATGTGCTTCCATCTGCTGATAAAGTATAGCCACGAGGACATGAGCATTGATAGGAACCGGGAGTATTGATGCAGGTCCTTGAATTTGTAATAATTAAATTTTAAAAAATCCTTGGAAAATCTATAAGATTCAATACATTACCCCATGCACAGCTTGTAATCCTTGTGAACTTCACACTCGTTGATATCGTTGCAGGTGCGATTATCCTGTCCCAATTGGTAACCCGAGTTGCAGGTACACCTGTAGCCGCCCCAGAAATTGATGCACTTCTGCTGACACAGACCCGTGAGGACTTGACACTCGTCAATATCGAAGCATTGAGTGTTATTATCATCGTCGGGTCTCTTCTGGAAGCCCGTCTTGCACTCGCAATAGAAGGATCCAATGGTATTGAAGCACTGGGCATTCGAAGGACATACACGCTGATCCAGGGCACATTCGTTGATGTCCACACATGTGTTGCTGCCGGCAGAGAGACGCTTGAGTTCATGTCCTGTAGGACAGGCACAGACATAGCCACCGTTACGATTTCGGCAGATTTGTCTTTCACCACAGTTGTGCTCGCCAGTTGCGCACTCATCGATGTCTAATTAAAGGGGAATTTTTTAAATTAATATTTTAACTATATAATTATGAGACTGCAGTAGCTAAAAGTAGTAAAAAGTGCAGGGTTTTTATTTACCAACACAGGACGTTCCCTCCGCTGTGGATTTGTATCCTGGCGAACACTGTAAAAGACTCTCGCAGCGATAGTGTCCATTGGTATTGATGCAACGCTGATGGCTGCCACAAGGATTGCTTCTCAAGCACTCATTTATGTCTAAAATTCAATAATAGAATAAAGAAGGATATATTTTCCAGTTTATTTAAGGTAATATTTACCAACACAAGCCCCATAGCTGTCTCTGTAAAAACCAGAAGAGCAATCCAATTGCGTTCTCGAAGAGGTGCCATAGTTGGCAGCAGGATATCTTGTTTCCCAAGAGTAAGGTTTCACTGTAGTTGTAGTAGTAGTGGTTGTTGATGGTGTTGTAGTATAACGTGTGGTGGTGGTTTTCCTATAACAACGAAACGATCCTTTGGTATTGTAGCAGTCATAGTTATACGGACAGTTGTGCGTTTTCAAATAACACTCGTCGTCATCTGAAAAGATCAAGTAAATCAAATTAGATTAAACTGCTTCTTTAGACATATTTAAAATGTATAAATTATATTATTATTTCTTCCAAGAATTCTCACCATCACAGTTCCCAGTCTCCGCGTTCAACGTGTAGCCAGTGCCGCAACTTTGAAGGCGCTAATTATATATAGGTAAACATTCCTGAATAAAAGAAATATGAACAATTTGGTGTAATGTCATCAATGAAATACCGTGCATATATATGATCCAATCGTGTTGTCACACCTCTGCGTTGGCAGGCAGTTGTGGTTGTTAATCGAGCATTCATTAATGTCTACACATATAAGATGTACAATTTAGGCACAAAATCCAAGAAACTAAGTTGGAATCACTTGGGCACTTACCCACGCACTCATTGGAGGTGGCATCCAGATTGAAGCCCACCTTGCAGTGGCAGAGGTAGCTGCCCAGGGTGTTCCTGCACTCCTGGTGGGGAATGCTATGACAGTTATTGGTAGCATTGTCGGCACACTCGTCTATATCCGTACAGCTGCCATCCTTCAGATTGAAGCCATCGTCACAAGATGGTTGTTTTCTGATTTCCGTAGAGTAAGCTGTTTTGGAAACTGAAAATATTAAAAATTAAGCCGTTAAATTGGATTAAATTATAAGCTAAATTCTCTAAATTGTTTTAAGATACAAAGATTTAATAATTTTACTTTTAACGCACCTTTACACTCATCCAATTCACCATCATAATGCTGTCCTTCTGGACATTCCTTAGCTTTCACATTCAAACAATGATAGCCGCCAATTGTATTGTGACAATATTGAGATATTTTGCAATCGTGAGATAATTCCTTGCACTCATCAATGTCAATGCACTTGCTTTCAAGCTCATCCAGATCATAGCCACTGGGACACACTTTGTTGTTGGCTTCTCCAGCAGGTAAAGCAGAGCAGGTGACATTGTTAGAATCCAGCTTAAAGCCGTCGTGGCACTTGCACTGATAGGCATCAAAGGTGTTCTCGCAGATGTGGGCACAGAGATTGGGGATTTTGCCACAAATGTCATCTGAAAATAATATTTTTTATTAAATTTATTTGAGTTACTTGAAGTTTCAACTTACCATCACCAGTTAGTACAATTGTACCCTCCTCATCTGGGTCCGATTCCGATTCCGGATCCGTTTCCGTTTCAGGAATTACCTTATTTTCATTATCATCAAGGCCCAGAGGGTTAGTGTCATTACTTTTTATAGAACTAGACTCCGAACCCGATGAGGGAGAACCATCTTCGTAACAGCAGTCTCGGTACGATTCAATGGCGGATATAAAGGAGAATAAAGGATCCTTGCAGTTCACTTTGCTGGCCTTGACGGCCAAACCAATTTGACAGGATCGGCAGCATGTGGCAAAAGCACTATGGGAGGTGACATTCTCTCCACCATCACAGCGGGTTCCGTCCAAGGCAGCCAAACGACCAAGCTCACAATTCTGATGATCCAATTCCCGAGAGCAGCACACCTCGAAGGTGGAGTGGCAGAGCCCAAGCCAGAGTTGTGGGATTACCGCTGGAGCCATATCCTTGGTGGCACAAGAGCCCGAAGTGCGGGCATTGCGAAGTCCACTTATGCAGCATTTTCGAATATATTCCGAAATGTCACCTAGAAAAAAAGGAATATAAATATCATATCAAATATATAAATATATTTTGATAGTATTCCTAAAGTGATATACATTTTTCCAAGGTCAGAAAAATATTAATATCTGATTATTTTTATTTTTAAGTTTGCATTCTGTCAATTTGGGATATAAATCAACTTAGAACTACTTATAGCCTTGATTTTCTGTAGAAAATAAATAGATAATAGGCAGCCTTGTGCGACAAGGTTTTGAGATAATTTATAAAAGCTAGAAATATTAAGGAGATGTTTGTATATATATCTCAAATCGTTATCAAATTTTGCCAACCGTAATAATTAGGATACGTTCACAAAGACAATGTGTAGATAAGAAATAAATCTATATGTAATCCCTTGGCCACACAATATTTTCATCAAAATATATATAATACTTACCAGCCGATGCCACCAACGAGACATGTTGCCCAGCTATTAATATTGTACACAAAATCCAAAAGAATTTACTTATCATATCTTTGCTGCGACAGAATTAAGTATTCACTGTATTCGAAATCAAAATAAAATAATGAATTAATTATTTAAGGAAGCCGGGACGGGAGGCTGAACCTTTCAGTGAGAGAAATAAACACGAATGAATCTTCCGAGTTCTTGAGCACATGTACGGCACGCTTGAGATACATACGTATCTCATGGATATGGATGTGCATATGTATATCTTCTCGTAATTGCGCACATATGCACACATTGATAACATTTTTAGAACAAAGAAGATTTCGGACTGAACGAAGTGTGTGCCCCTACATTAAGAATCTTATATCTTATATCTGAGCAAACACAGGAGATTAAGAATCTTTGATTTATTAAGATAACAGCTAGGTCATATATACAAGCTTGTAATTTTCTTTCAATATAATTATGTTATTTTATAAGTTTTTCATTTTATAAATTAAGTTTTTATTGTTTAGACTTAAGACAATTTATTTAGATCCGTTATTTTGAATATTTAAATCACAAGCTGGCGGTAGAGTTTGAGTATAAAATACTGAATGAAATTATTTGAGTTAAAAAAAAAAGAAGTACAACTGTTGTCAACTATCTCGGGGGGATAAAAATTAGGGCACCTACAGTTAGTAACGACTTTTAGGAGATTTAATAACTTAAAAGATCCTCCTTTGCAGAGTCAAACGGATGTTACGTTATGTGCCCAGCATTCTCTTCGTTGAATATGCCTAATAACGCGTTTAAAAATATCAGTGCTTAGTACCTAATTAATGCGGTAGGTTCGCTGTGGTAGCTTCAAGTGTGTAATTTACTTAAGGGGTTATCCGGGTTTTGAAATTTCAAAAAATGTTTTTTTTTCAAACTTTTTTATATAATAGTACAAAGTGTCAGGAATGTTGTCCGAAAATTTCAAGTCGATCGAAGCTAAACTGTAGAAATGGGGGAAATTTGAAGCCCAGCGCGTCGTATGAGTCACAACTGGAAATTAAAACTTTAAACGCGTTTTTCTCAAAACCACTTTCTTGAAGTTGGTAGTCAAGATTTCTCGAAAACTACAGGACCGATCGACTTCAGATTTTCCACACTTCTTCTAGACATGTTTTTCTTGTCTCTGAACGAAGGATTTTTTATATCTTCAATTAGAACCGATTTTATAACCCAAAATATGGCCAAAATTGACGTAAAAAGTGACATTTTTCATCAGAAACGCTCCCAAAAATTCAATTTTTAATTTTTTTAAAAATCCTTCGTTCAAAGACAAGCCAGACACATAAGCTAACAGAAAAAGTTTGGTTTTTTGATTTCTGATCAAAATTGACGAAGAAATCCTGCCTACCGCAAGGACATAATTTTTTTTAGGGTTAAGTTCAACCCTCCCTCAACGGCTCATTTGTAAATATTTCTTGTTCAAAATTTTACAGAATTTAGTTCAAACCTTATGTATTAATGTAGAATAAATGAAATTTGCAAAATTGTCATAGGATCTTTAAAAAAAAATTCTGGAAAATGGGCCTTTTTTTGTGGTTCTAAACCCGGATAACTCCTTAAATAAATATAATTTTAAAAGCTTATTAAGGAAATATTATTTAATTTTCTACATTTATTTAGTGGAATTAAAAAGGAAGCCATTAAATTTTTGTAATATTTATAACCTTATTATTTTAGTCATAAGTAATTTCCGACCCTATTAATCATATATATTCCTGATCAGCATAAACAGGCTCGTCTTTCTAGTCATGTCCGGAAAAAAATTTTTTAATATTTTTAAATTAACACATTACAATGTTCAAAATTAAAAATGTAGAATGCAACTGTGTGAAATTAAGGCTTTTTGACTAAATTATGATTTGTCCATATTAGTTTAGAATTCAATAACACATCAATATGGCAGTCCCACCTACCTGTCCTTCACAAACAGAATCCGCAGGATTTGCTGAGCTCAGAAATTGTCGGATTATCAAACAGGCGTCTAATCCCGCCCTCCCATAGACCCCGTGTCTAGTGTCCTGCGACCAGAAACCGATGTCGAATGCACCGAAAATGACATTAATGGGCTCTTTACGGCTTACGCATAATTAAGGCCGTTGCCGCCAGATTCGGAGCCATCGGCCCATTGCACCCCTTTTGACTTGGCCTCTCGGCCCGCCCAATGTGTTGTCTTAACCGGGCCTAATTAGCCATCGCCGCCAGTTTGGTCCTTCTCCGAACGGTTCTGTTGCTTCTGCGGCTGTTGTATGTATGTATGTTTAATGAAGTGCATGATTGGTTTACGAGTTCAAGCGGGATTGGCAAGAGCTTCATTAGCGCGGGTTAAATCGTAGTGTTTTAAAACCCAATAAATATGCTGGAAACTCTTTCTCAGATTAACAAATACATTTTCATAATTCTTAAATTAAATTCTGTATTTTTCCCCCAGAATGAAATAATTTCTTTAATTTTAACTCGAATATACATTCAACTTATTTGTCTGCGAGATGGTTTTCATTTCATTCGCGACTGTCCTGGGGCAAGTAAGGAAAATAACTGAGACGACGGAAAATATGTTGAAATAAATTTAATTTTTTTTGCCAGCGGCAGATTAAAAAGATACGAAAAAAACACTACTTGAAATATGTCTGAATTATGGTTTAAGGATTGCAGAATTTTCAGTTTAAAAGGGGGGTTGGAAACTTAAAGTATTTATGAGTGTATAGTATTTATGGGTCATAAAGAACTGGCACGAGAATTATAATATAAGAAGGGAAAAGTCAAGAGATAATAGTTTCCTTCTTTAAAATATTGCTAAAATATGGAAAAGTGATTTACTTATAGGACTTTAAATAATTTACATTTTTATTTTGTACTTAAATACATTTTTATTTTCTCCAAGTATACAGTAGTTATACAAGTAGTTGTTTTCCAGACCCAGACCCAGACTTAGTTTGACAAATTGAACGGTCCTAGTTACTGATTATGACATTTACAGATGTGATGCTGGCAAGTGTTTGATTGCCTACTCATTTTCTCAATAACAAGGACTTTTGTCCTGCCTGCAAAGGTACTTTTTTCACCTGCACTCACCTTAAGTATGCCTCCCCCAATCATTTTGCCCCCAACAACGCCAAATCAAACAAGGTTATGGCTTTTCCAGGTTGACCGTTTTCCGTTTTCCGAGCGATTTAGTGTCGTGGTCCGGGAAAAGAGACGTGGAATAAAGGAACCCTGGCATCCCCTTTGAAACAGAGGCAGAGAGGGAAAGGGAGAGGAGCAAACAAACGCCGTCTGGCTGTCACTTAATCGAAGCCATTAGCGTTATTAGTGGGCTCAGGTATGGCCAATCCACTGAGGGAAATTGTAAGATATTTTTCAAAGAATTATATTTTAAATGTTATTTTTATTTTCTTGTTAAATATTCTTATTAAATATTTTCTTTAAATGGTATACATATTTTTATAATTTTTATAATGTAAAATCCCTTACTCCCATGCTTGACTCGCAGCCAAATAGAGAGCAAAAAGTGTCTGGACATTGTGTATATAGTCAGCTTGCGATTCCAGCGGTCCCTCCACCCCAAACCTCTCGCACAGCACTCTCACATAATCCGCCAAGGATATATTCTGCTGTAGACAGGATCTGTACGCCTGATCCAAGGCATTCTTTGTCTCCTCATCGCCGTAAGATCTTGGCCAATCTTCCAAAAGAGCATCGATATCCTTTCGGGGCTGAGCATCGTACATAGATTGAGTCATATGCACCTGTTCCACCTCCGAGATCCACTTATCAATATCCTTGCCCGATCGAGCTGTGGGAATCAGCGAAGCCGAGGAGGCGTGTCGGGGATTACGCCCCATACTGCCACTTAGCACCGATCTTAACTTCATATTCAGAAGAGATGGCTCCGACTGAGTTCCCGAGGGCTCGTCCAGCAGCCACAAGCCTAATCTCTCCAGGTGCTCATCGAGTTCTCTTTGACGCTGAGGCTGAAGGAGGGGAGGAGCCTGGACCTTTAGCAGAGCATCCACATCGCCCACGGCGGGCACAAATTCAGGGATAAAGGGTTGCAGATGGAACGGTGTATCGATCGTTTGTGGTGTGTACTTCAGGATATAGGGAAACAGGTCCTTGAGCTCCCCAGGCAGGGTTAGATCCTCCCACTTTTCCGGACCAATGCTGAAGGGCTGCTCCTCCTGCCGCTCGGATCTACCGGCACTGCTCCTCATGGGAAGGTTTAACTTTTGGTGGGGCAAACGGGTTGCTCCTGTTCCTCCCCTGGCACCTCCAGATCCCATTCCACCGCCGGCTGCCTCATCGCTGCCGGAGCTCATGGGATCGTCCTGCGACTGCTTGGAATTGCGAGTGCTATCTGGTCGCTTTTGGGTTCGTGGAACCAGACCCGTCATTCCCACGCCCATGGTCATGCCTTGGGGCAACTGCATCTCGCTATCGTCGTCATCGTCGCTGTCCTCCGCCTCGTCATCGTGATCAATGATGTCCTGCAGGAGGCCATCGTCATCAGTGGAGTTGTTTTGAAATTGCTAAAAGGATAATAATATTTGGGAATATTTATTAATGTCATTTTATTTTTACTTTACTTTAAATTTGTATTATTTTTGCATTTATTTTTTTATTATTTTTCGACTCAACTTCGTCCACCAGCACTCACCATTCGACGATGCCTGCCTGCGGCTGCTCTTTGCGAAGCACCAGCAGCACCTCCTCCATCTGCTCCCCCTGCGGCACCACCTCTTCCGCCACCTGGGACGGCATTCCGCGGGTCCATTTGGACACTGCTGAGGTGCTTGGAGTCGGGTCCGTTGATTGTGATCTCCTCGTCGTAGAAGTTCATGGCCAGCTCTGCCCGGGATTCAGATTCAAAATAGCTCTCCAGCTGTGAGTATACTCTCGAGCTATTCAGTTCCTTTGAGGTCCTTCTTCCTTTTTTCTGCCCACTTCCTGGTTTTCCGCGAAAATCCGCACAGCACTTGTCTTGCAATTTTCCGCTCCTTTTGCAGGTGCCAAGGCGTCGTCCTTGTTTCCTTTCACCGCGTATATTTCTTAATGCCGAAATATTGGGTTTTTCCCAGCGTTTTCCGTTTTGTTTTGGCTGCTTTTCCTTGCTTACCTGCTGCTGCTGCAAAAGTTGTCAATTGCTTTGGCCATTGTCGGTGTCGATGGCAATGTGGGTTGTCTTGACAACGCTATAAAGTCCTTAACACGGAGAGAAATTACAGTATCCTTCGTAAATAAAAGGATGAAAAAAAATAAAATATTGCAATATCACATGCAATAAAACTATTCTACAGCTCATATATTACTTTTAATTATTATAATATTATTTTTTACTTGGGTTTGTACAATATTTTTTATTTATTAATTTTTATATTAAATATAAAAGGTAATGGTGCATGAGTTTTGTTCATCCCTACATTTTATTGTTTTTTTCTTATATTAAAGTTCTCTTGTTTTTTATAAATACGTATTTCCAACAAATTTCTCCCTGTGCACTGGGTGGTATTTGTTGTTTTTTGGCTGGTAGCTATTGTCATATCCTTTTTGGCCTGCAAAAACATTTACAGCTGTAAAGGCTGTCCTTTGTTTCACGCCAAGGGTTTTAATTACATTCAATTCTGAACCGATTTTCCATCACTGACCGCCTTTCAGCCAGAGTTTATTTAAATAATTTGTAGCTCCTGTGTAAGGTTTATGGCGTCGAATTCATTAATGGGTATGTAAAATTTTGTAGGTTTCTCAAAAAGGGTCCGCGAAAGGCTTAACCAAATAGGTTTGCATTAACACGAGGCGCCGCCGGCATCAGTTTGAGGTAGAAAATTTCACAGAGGCGGAAGGATCTGAGCATATGTGGGTATTTCTTCAAGTTAAGATCTGGAATATTTTAAACTACGGGTTCTTTTAAGTGATAATGAGTTAAAAAGAAAGGGTATTGTATTTTGTGTTGTGAAAGATTACGAGGAACACATGATAAATATTTGTATACTGGTAAGAGATAATTTTAAAATTACAAGGATAGGTGGATTAAGATTAAGGTGATAAAAAAATTAAATATAAATTTAAAATAGGTATGTAATGTATCATAATATATTTTTTTAAGTAAAAGTATTTTACCCTCTTTATTATTATTAAAAACATTTTAAAATATATATTTTTATGGGAATTTATTAGATTTTATTTTACAAACGTTTTTTCCCATTCTTTAGTTATACTTGTTATTATTACCTCTTCCCTTTCTGTGCCACATCCAAAATTTTCTCCCCTTGACGCCGTCCATGCCTTCCATTCACACGATTTCCGCTCTCTTTACGCATTTTGTCTCATACTATGCCAACGCGAGAAACAACAGAGCGCTCGGAGAGAGTGCACAGTGGGTAAAGGAATTACTTGCTTTAGTAATCCATAGACACTAACAAGCGTTTCCACTTCAACCCCACGGTTCGGTCTCAAGCAATAACAAATGGCAACAAGAGAAAGAGAGCGTAACAGAGGATTCTTATCTAACAGACCGTTAACAGCCAACAGTGCACAGTGGAGCCCATTTGAGTTTTTTCCATTGAAAATGAATAACTTTAGAACAGACCGCAAAGCCGTAAAAACCTGTGAAAATGTCATCTTTGCTAAGAATATTATGAAAACACACACTTATTCTGTGTTTTAGTTTTATAATATTGCTAACAATGGTTTCGTAATAGAAGGATGATTTTTTAATAATATTTACAAATTTACAATTTGAGAAGCCATTACTAATCATTTCACATTTTTTTTATAGCTTAAACTTTTTATAATTTTTAAGTCCCTGTGTTTATACGAAATAATTTGTGCAACAAAATAACCCAAACGGTCCCACTGTGCTACGTATACTTGTTTTCCAGCCGCATACTTGTTTTCGCCGCTTCTCTTTGACCTGGCATTCGCGTTTCGAACTTGTCGCTGTGCGGACGTCACGTTTGGCTGCTGCTCCGAGATTTGAGAAATCCATTCGAAATATCCGATTTTACGTCTTTGTGCTTGGCTCTATCGCGCTTTATCGCTCAGTAACGGCGACCATTAATTAAATGGCAAAGTGTCGGTGTGTCAATTGAATCTGTACGACTTTTGATTGAATTAAAATACGAAGTTGCAAAACACAATAACAGCAATAATAGCCAGTGCAATTAGCGGTAATTAAGCCGGACCATCGCGGTAATTTTTGCACATTTTTGATCGGGCGCCAAAAGATATTTTTTGCACACACACTGTCGCTCCCTGCCTTTTTTTGGGATAATTAAATTGGAGAATTGTGTTTTGGGAAGAGAGTCCTTCCGCCTGTTGTAGTGGTTGTGTGTGTGAGTGTGCGCTACGGTGTGTGTTCAGTTGTTGTGGAGGAATTTCTCATTAAACCGGGCGCTAAAAGGATTACGAACCCGTTCATCTTCATCGTCATCAGACCCGCAGCGGCCCGAATAACGGTAAGCTAGCAGGGATTCCCCCACAACCATTTTGATTTGCACTTGGCGAAAACGTGGGGAATTTAAAGAACTAATGTCGCGTTGAAAAATATTGAATGTGTAAGAAAATAAGTGAAAATTAGTCAAATTGCACTTGGAATAGTATTCATGTATTTTTTTAAAGAATTAAATAATTACCTTGAAGATTTTAAATATTTTTCGATCGTTTTTAAATTATGTGAACGAAAAAAAAATTATAACCTGCTCACTTAAAATATATTTCTTAATTTCTATGAGGAAAATAAACTAAGAAAGTAGATATCTTTATAATTTTGAAAGCGGTAATTTGAAAACAAAGAACAAATGAGATTTTTCTCCCTGTGCACACCTTCAATTCCGCTACTCTCGTTTTATGTGTTGGCTTTTCACGCGACCCTCGCAACAGTTAAAAAGGGTTGACCATGTGCCGAGGGTCAATATGCTTTTGTTGAGGTTAAACTGTGCTCGGAGGACACAAATCCCGCTACCCCTTTTAGGCCAGCCGACACCCACTTACCACTTACTGCTCCCCCAACCCCTCCGCACAGCCGTTGCTGCATGCGAGGCCAACAATGAAAAGCCCCTCCGAAAAAAGTTTTTCGGCAATAAAACGAAATTGTTTTGAATTATTGAGATCTCAGAGAGTGGGCGACGGAGGGAAACTCGGCCTGTAACCGGATGGTGCCTTTCTGGTGTTGCTTCCTTCTTTATATTGTTTAAATATAATTTATATTTGGCGCATTTATGGCCAGGACAGGCCGGTTCTCGGGACCTCAGGAAAAGGACTCCAGGACATAGGCAGGAACCCTTATAGGTGTCTGGGGGCATTAACGGTTAACATGTTTGCGGTTTTTGATTGCTGCCAAGTCCTTTTATCAGCCCATAAAACGAGGCGATCCAAATGCCAGCCACATTTTTCGGGCTTTCGGGACTCTATGAGGGCGTGAGGATACGTTTTCTGTGTGTGTGGGAGTGTGTGGTTTCTGCAAATTGGCGAAAGGTTTTATAGAGTTCAGCGGAGTAACGACCAGTTTATCAATTCTGTATGGTAGCTTTGGTCGCAACCCGATAAGAGTTGTATGCAAATACGAAAAGGGGTTGGGTCGATGCACTGAAAGCAATAATGAAGGAGAGAGGATAAAGATATCGGGGGTGTGAAAATACAAATTAAATTAAAAGATAAGCCAGCCAGGGAATAACACATTTGTGATATGGAAATTATAATAATAAATTATAAATATGATATGCACTTTTAAATTAGTCACTGAATACTAACTGATAACAAATATTAATTATTAAATTAATATATATAAAAAACTCCTTCTTCTTTCACAATTTCCCTAATTTATTTTACTCCAAATAGCTTAATCAACATTATAGCTTAAGAGCTTTAATAAATAAGCTATAAATTAATACACACACTTGGGTATAATTTACCAAAAGTCTAGCTCCATTAATACCAACTCGAAGGGCATCAATTTCTCTTTCTTCATCTCGTTCCTCCTCCTCAAAACACAAATTGCAACCTTTAACAAATATTAAGATTCATTTGCACCGAGGAGAATCTAATTTCTTGACCAAGTCAGCAACGTCTGTGGTTATTAGCTGGCCAACCGCCAGCATCCAGCATTCGACAGCCCGGCGTGGCTAATTAATTTCCATTCAAGTAAATGGAAATGCGTAACCATAGAATGCCGCAAATTAATTTTCGGACGGAGAGAATGAGAGGAGCCACCGACAGACAAACAGACAGACAGACAGACGGACAGTTAAATGTTAGACAGAGTGTAGCTGTTAGATCAACAAGGAGAAGGTACTAGAGAACAGTGCGGTTCATTAGTAAAAAATAAATATTTAATGAAAGATATACAAGCTTAGAGATTATTGAGAAAATATATATATAAATATTCAATATAGAAAATTATTTACCATTTCTTGAAAGGACTTCTGATAACAATTTCTATAAATACCATAAAAACCCTCCTAAATTTTAGTTTAATAATAAATTTAGGCAATTATTTGTACATTTTTGGAAACCAAATTCCACCAGATTTTTCCCTCTATAACTTTGTTAACATATTCCACTGGCTTGAGATTAATTGCAATTATTATTACAAAAATTCCTGCGCCTTTCTGCCTTTGATACGCACTGTATACACATACTATCCATTTATTTGCGGGCAATATAAATTCCTCGAGTTCTCTCTGCCATTTTTATTTGGATTTTGCGGTCTGGTCTGGTGCTGTTCTATGGCTATTGCTGTTTATTGTAATTTTTTATGGTCCAGCCATGGTTCTTTTTTTCGGACCCATAACTAGCGACTGGCGACTTCGACCTATATACATACAAGTGATTCTATTTGTGCCTTGGACATATTCGTAGGCCTAAATCCAAAAGGCCGAGACCTCGACCACCCAAACACTCGCAGACTTTTCCACTTTCGCTTTCCATTGTGCGCTGTTTTGTGTGCCAGAGGAAAATAAAGGAAAGGCGAAAAGAAAATGTTTGCTTATCTCTTTGCCTACACATTTTTATGTGTGTTGTGCTGTGCTTTTGTCTCCCGCACTCTGTTGAATGGGTGTTGGGGCTTAAGGATTCGCTGTTTTGGACTTTTTTCGGATAGTCATCAGCATGCAGAGCCACATGGCTACATCCACGCCTCCTCTTCTAATCTCCTCCAAGTTCAGCGAAAGCGAAAGCCTGGCAAGGAGGGTCACCATAAAAACGAGAATCGTTCTACGGTTGAAAGTTTGTCGTGGCAGCGAAATATGCCAGATTGGTTTTTATTTAAATTAGTTTTAGATTCCTTCGGGTTCGCCTTCGATCCAATGTTGGCTGAAGTGTTAAAACTGAGGATACAGAAATTGATTTTCGGTCATGAGATTGAGAACTTCAAGCGAGCTGTGTGAGCTGTGGCGGCTTCCGTTCCTTTCTTTTATGGCCAACTCAGCTGTTGGCCCCAGTCTCTCAGACGAATAAATAAACAATATGGTTGGGGAATCGGATTTCAGTGTCGCCTATCAATGACAAATTGCATACAGAGGCAAATGTTTTCGTTTGGGTGTGTACTCCTTCCATACTTTATCCCTTTTCAAGACGACTGCCAAGTAATAATGACAGTTTATTAAATGCCAATTCAGATCCACATCTCGGATAACCCATGGAAAGTTTGGCAAACAGAAAATAACACAACTCTTGATTGCCGGCCAAACTTTTTTCGTTAACCTTTTCGGGCTGACCCCGAGACGGTCGAGCAGAGTGGCATCGCATCGGCTCCTCATCAGCATAATCCCATGGGAGGTAAGGAGGGGCTTTTTGGGTAAAAACACACAACTTTCCCAAGCCCCAGCGATACACGCACGCCCCACCACTCAAAGATAACTTTTGTAAACATCTCTCTGGCTGCTTGGAGATACATCTTGGCTCTCCCCCCAAAAGCCTCCGTATCATTTATCACGGCTTACACACCAAAAATATCATTTACATGGCAAAGGCAAAAGGCTGTGAAAACGGAAAAGTGAAATGAATTATGTTGGAGGTGATGAAGTTATCATTGGGCTATCAACGCCACGGAGGCGGAAACCGTTCAAGTTGTCAATGAGATTGATTATTCAAAAGGGTTAGAAAAGGCGCCAGCTCAAAGCTTTTCCTCAAGTGTCAGGAAAAATTACAATTAATAATTAATGAATTTTTTCAAATCACTAAAGAAGGGTGAGGGTTTTTACGTATTATATAATATTTAATTTGAAAGAGTATATTTAGAGATATTGATTTCATATTTATGATTATGAATTTAACAAGAATAAGAGAATAATATACAACTTTATGAACACAAAACGAGATATTTTTGTTATTATAAAGACACAGTATTTCTTAGAAATTAATAAAAGGCTTTCTGTTATTTAATAACCCACAAAAATTAATAAAAATACAAAAACACTATAAAATGCTGTATAAAACCATAAAAATATGAACAGAAAATTGGTGTTAGATTATTCAATCATTTCAAAGAGAAAGTTTCTCAAATTATGTGTTAAGTCTTGGACACCATCAAAGCCATTGAAAAGTTAATCAATTTTTTGCTTAAAGAAATTCTTTAAAAGCCATGCAAATTGGTAAACAAAAATATCTAGAGCATACCTAATCATAAAATAGTTCCACTTCTCTGAATAATAGCAAAGTAAGATCTGTAAATTTTTAGCTAAAAAAAATCTTAATACCAATCAAATTTTAAGACATTTCTGCTCCCGCCTGAAACTTGTTAAGAAGCAATTTCTAAGCAAAGTTTTTTAGTGTTGTCTGGCTCTTTGATTGTTATGTCTTCGCCACTCTGCTTCGCTTTATCATATCTCTTTCACTTTGTCATTCTCTGGCATTCCAATAAACAGTTCTAGCGCTTTTTTTTGTTCTTTTTCCGTCGCAAAAGAAGTATTACTATTATTATTATGGTGACCCATTTTGCTCGGTGTATATACTTAGTGTGATTTTCAATTACCAAATTACTGACCCCAAAAGCGATTACTAAACATGCTCCACTGTGTGCCATAACTGCTTTAATACCCAATATATATGTACATATATGTATGTATATATACTTACCACAAGATTGCTTTATCAGCAAAAAAAAAAAAGGAAACACGAAGAACAGTTAGCAGCCAAAGAATAGAACTGTATTGAATTGGAAATGGAGGTGGATTCGTATGGGCATGTATCAATAGCAACAATGGAGCTGGTGGCCTAGTCAAATATGTGGGGCTCTGTGTTTGCTTTAGATAAGCTATCAAAATAAGAATTTCCTATGGAATCCGCCACCTTAAGATTCCAAATCCCCATCGACTCTAAACCGTACAAAGAAATACGATTAAATTCGGTTCCCCATATTATATTTATATTTTCGCCACGCAATTTATGAGCTCATCAATGGCAGCGACAGGTTGACGCTAACGATTTGAATACTCAGCTTTATTTATAGGGATTTATC